GCATGCCTCCTGTTCTTATATTTCCATAGAGATCTGCATATCTCCTCAAGACTGTAAGCTCTTTTGTGCAGAGTCCTCATCTACCTCTAGTTGCTGTAACATTTTTATTGTTAAATTCCCCCCTTTAATAATATTGTAAAGCATTGCGGAATAAGTTGATGCTATATAAAAAGCAATAATAATAATAATAATAATAATAATAATCTCAGTTTGTGACTACTGTATTTTTTTTAATTCGTAGTTTATTGAAAGCTTTTTGATTATACAATTGGGTACAGAAAAAAAGAAAAGGGAGGGGGAGATAATACATGTTACAATAATCATGGCATTCAACACACCACCACCACTTTGGGTATTTAAAAGGGAAACTCCAGTGCCAAGAAAACAATCCGTTTTCCTGGCACTGCAGGTCCCCTTTCCCTCCCACCCCCCAGTAGCTGAAGGGGTGAAAACCCCTTCAGAAACTTACCAGAGGCAGCGACATGTCCAACATCGCTGCTTCTTCCTCCGCCACCGCTCCTCCCAGTGATTGCATTGGCTGGTGGGCGAGACTGAGACCTAATGCGCATTAGAGCTCCCCATAGGAAAGCATTGAAAATGCTTTTCAATGCTTTCCTATGGGGAAATGAGCGACGCTGGAGGTCCTCACACAGCGTGAGAACGTCCAGCGACGCTCTAGCACAGGTTTCCTGTGCTAGGGACACGGAAGTGCCCGCTAGTGGCTGTCTAGTACACAGCCACTAGAGGTGGAGTTAACCCTGCAAGGTAATTATTGCAGTTTATAAAAAACTGCAATAATTACACTTGCAGGGTTAAGAGTAGTTGGCACCCAGACCACCCCAATGGGCAGAAGTGTCTGGGTGCCTGGAGTGTCCCTTTAAGGAAATGTTTTGATTTCCTAGAGAGAAATGCGCAGGTCTCCAGCACTTTTAACCCCTTAAAGGACACATGACAGGTGTGACATGTCATGATTCCCTTTTATTCCAGAAGTTTGGTCCTTAAGGGGTTAAAAATACAGTAGCCACAAGCTCCCCTCTGCACTCATGGCCACCGTATTTTGAAAGTGCTGGAGACCTGCGCATCTCGCAAATCAAAAAATTTCCTTAAAAAAATACCTGCCTGCATTATCACGAAACAAAGTGGTGTTAAAGGACCACTATAGTGCCAGGAAAACATACTCGTTTTCCTGGCACTATAGTGCCCTGAGGGTGCCCCCACCCTCAGGGACCCCCTCCCGCCCAGCTCTGGAAGGGGGAAAGGGTTAAAAACTTACCTTTTTCCAGCGCTGGGCGGGGAGCTCGCCTCCCCCTCTCCGCCTCCGATCCTCCTCCTGGGCTGAATGCGCACGCGCAGCAAGAGCTGCGCGCGCATTCAGCCCGTCGCATAGGAAAGCATTTACAATGCTTTCCTATGGACGCTTGCGTGCTCTCACTGTGAAAATCACAGTGAAGTACGCAAGCGCCTCTAGTGGCTGTCAATGAGACAGCCACTAGAGGAAACAGGGGGAAGGCTTAACCCATTCATAAACATAGCAGTTTCTCTGAAACAGCTATGTTTATGAAAAAAATGGGTTAACCCTAGCTGGACCAGGCACCCAGACCACTTCATTAAGCTGAAGTGGTCTGGGTGCCTATAGTGGCCCTTTAATAATATGTTTTGGACAAGGGTGTAATGTAACAAATGTTAAGTAAAAACATATTGTATTGAAGTTTGAATCCCTATGTATTTTTATGCTTGGTCTTTTTGTAACACAGAAACGTCTAATGTATAGGTGGGCAATGGAGGCTGTCTGAAATCGCTCTTTGGTAAATACAGCCACAGAGCTACATTATTAGAAGCTGCAATGTTTACATACATACACATTCACTCCCATACAGCACGCTTTGTTGCATTTCACTATTGGCACGGATACTATTAATATAAAAAGAGAGTCCCTCACCCTCTCCTTGTGACTTCCCTCCGTTAGGCCCGATGGTTTTTCTTCCACCACCTCCTCCTGCTGTTATGAGATAAGTGACTTCCGGTTCTCGGCGGAAAAGGGTAGGAAACCAAGAAGTCGCTGAGTATGCCGGGAAAGTGAGTCTTTTCTCACTGTGAAGAAAGCAACAACCCCCTCCATGAAACTACAAATAGAGTGATGCTTTGCGCTACAGAGCCGCAAGCGGTCCAAGGACTTGTAGTAAAAGCTAGACGTGCAGGAAGAGGATTTGAGATAAGGAAGGCATTGCTTTAGTTGCATGCCGGAACTTGTAGTCCTAATAATGTATGTGCTGAATGGAAATTCTTGGAGAAATGTGATTTATTGTTTAGAATCATAGAATCTATTTTGATAAAAGTAATTTATTGTTTAGAATAATAAAATTTATAAACGGCAGAATATGAAAAAATGAAATACAGTTATAATTTGTCAAATTTCCAGAATACAATAATAAGTGTTAGTATACACTACGATTTTTTAAATTTTTAACATTTTTTGCTGGCGAAAGTATTAAAAATTAAAGGATTACTCCAACCTTTTCAGTGTTTTGAAATGGTCATAGTGCCTAGAGTCTGTATGTGGAGCATTTCTCTATGAAATACCTACCCCCTCTGCCGCCTTCCTTTGCCCCTTCTAGCTGTAAATACTTTCATATATAACTGTCTCATCTCCCTCTCTGATCCTTAGACCTCAATCCACAAACCGAGAAACATGCAATACTAACTCTCTTCTTTTGCTCTAAGCACTTCATGCCCAGCCTGGTTTCTACTAAATTTATAGCATGTTCCTTCAGCTGTCTTAACTCTTACTCAGTGACACCTTTATTCCCTTTGCATCTAACTAGTGGCTTCAACTCTCTGTTAATTTCCTCAGGCCCTCACTTCCAAATTCCCCTTGCTACCTCTTGTCTCAAATTCCCATTGTAACCTTTAGATTGTAAGTTCACGGGCTTTCTAAGCACTTTGTATAAAAGAGCTTTAATGGCTAGATTTTAGTTCACAGGCAGAACCTTTTTTACCTTTTGTATTGGTCTGTGCATATTGTATGTTCTACCCTAATTGTACAGCGCTGCGGAAAATGTTGGAGCTTTATAAATGCTAGTAATAAATAAAATGAATCCTGCGCATATGGAGTTTGCCACAATAGGTGTAACTACACCTCAGGCATCAACCTTGGGTCCTCTTTTTCCATCTGGGTAATGTACATTTTGTGCACATTTCTATGCACAGAATGTCATTTATTTGCTAAGAGCTGTTAGCTGAGATTCTCAGCCAATGAATGGTTGGCGAATAAGCATCCAGCTTTTTGCAGCTATCTTTTCCATTACAGGACCGTTGGCCCCCAGCGGAGACCCAGGTAAGAGGGCAAGCTGCTGCAAAATGTATTGACCTATTTCTAGGGCATTGATAGGCAACCTTCGGCACTGCACGTGCTGTGGACTACATCCCCCATAATGCTCTTACACTCATAATGCTGGCAAAGGATCATGGGAGGTGTAGTCCAAAACATCTGGAGTGCCAAAGGTTGCCTATGACTGTTCTAGGGAATGGGGCCAGGGTACACGTAGCATCATAATCACTACAACAGACTGTATTGGTTATTATGCTTGAAGTAACCCTTTAACTCATGTATTACGCATGAAGCATGCGCGAATACAGCATTACTGAAGAAAATGTGCCTGAGAGCACAAACAATTCACTGTTCCATTTATAAACCCTACTTGAATTGCCAGCAGCTCACAGTTTAGTCAATAAGCCTATGAGTATTGCCATTTTATATTTGCTTATGGATTCCAAAAAAAGTAAATTTTAGAGCCACATTGGACAGAATGCATGCTGACATCTACATAATTTGGTTAGAATGTTGAAATATGAAGTACAAAAACACCAATAAGCTAGAATGCTCAACATTTCGCCTCTAATAGCCTTTCGCCTCTAACAGTCACTGTTACTCAAGCTTAAATGGTTATACCACTCCTGATTTTAGAAGTGCTTATAGTGGTACAAATCTGTATTTGCAGCGTTTTTGTTTGAAACGCTGCATATTCAGAGATATTTGCACTTGTGTGCTGTGGGCTAGTTGCACCTCCAGCACATGTGACGTAGTTGTTCCCAGTCACCTAAAGTTAACTGTTGTATCAGTCTGTTCTTATTGTATTGTCTTTTTCCCAATTGTACAGCGCTGCGGAATATGTTGGTGCTTTTTTAAATACCAGTAATAAATAAAACTATGTGCATAGATTACATCTGTCGTCAATGCGCAAACTCCCTGCGCTACCTGCAAGAGGAAACCTTGATGTACTCTCCCCCTCCAGTATTCAGAATAAAAAAACATATTTGTTTCCTAAATTTCCACAAACCTGGTGGCATGGCTCTTTTTGTGTGCATCAAATCCAAATGGTCGAGTATGATTATGGCTGAGTTGGAATTTTGTTTCAAGAACTGCAATTGTTTTCCAGTGTTAGTGTCTTATTAACCCCTTAAGGACACATATGTGTGACATGTCATGATTCCCTTTTATTCCAGAAGTTTGGTCCTTAAGGGGTTAAATATTGAATTCTCATCCAGGTTACAGTATAAAAAGACACACACATACGTGTCTATGTTTTTTTATTTTCTGTGCTTTGTTATATGCTATAATTGTTAGTGTAGTTTTTTTTTGTTGTTGTTTTTTTTTAAAGCAGCTGTTATGCAAAATACAAATTATTAATACCTTTCTTAAGGTACCCTTTCCCCCATAGAGCAAAATGAAACCCCTAAATAAAAACAATACAATAAAACAAATATATGTTTATAAAAAATTGCATGATGTATGAAATGGTAGAAAATAATCAGATTTTGAAGATTTACTGACCAATGATATGTTTGCACAACTCTTTCACACATAATTCTTATCTGATGATAAATCAAGTATTCTACAATAGAACCTTGCTGATGCACAGGCATCTATTGAATCAACTCTAAGGATTATTTCTGGAAGAAACTGTATTTACAGAGAACATAAACTGTCCTTCCTGAGTGTTGACCGTGTTAGAGGCGTGCAAGGAACAAGAAACTACAATCCCCATAATGCAATGGTGTGCAACCACTAACCTTTAAAAGGCTGATCTTAGATAAAAACTAATCTCTAGCATGCTGGAGCAGGAAGTGAGTGGAACGTGATTGGGTGGGATAGATGCAAGAAAGCAAAGAGTATGAAACTGAATCTGTACGGAGAAGAAATCATGAAAACTGGCTGGTATGTGTGACTACACATTACACAGGAAGGTGAGAGGAGGGGGTCACTGATGCCCATTTTGCTGTGTAATAGCGACATTTCGATTACTAGCCTAATCCTACAAATCCGTGATGATTACCCTCATGTAATGTGTGACCTACATTTCTTATGATGCTTTGCCAGCCTACAGGCTGGGCATGATGGGAATTGCTGTAGGCATATAGGGTACCAAAACAACCTACAAATTACTGAACCCTGCAAGAGTGTTTAATCATTTTGTTTTTGCACTTAAACATGCTGCAATGCTGATTGCAACATTTTGTAGAATTTTAAGTTTGAAGATAAATAATACATAGGCATCTATGCAATTTAGTACTATCTAGGTAATGTGCCGTAAATATAATGTTATTACTAATGTTATTTATAGAAGTTAAAAGAAAGCAAAGCCTAACATCTTACAAAAGCACTTGTGATCCAGTTGATATAAATATAATAATATTTTAAGGAGGGTGACATCTTTTATTGTAGTGGTTATGGTGCAAAGAGTCTTTGAGTGCAGTCCCAACTATTTTTGTCAAACCATTTTGAGTGATCTGACAAAAAAGGGGTTCCTCCAGCATACAAGGTCATCATCCAATCTACTGTCACAAAATAATTATGAGGTTAACTTTTTTGTTATCCATCTAAAGGTGAATAGGAATGTAATACTCTGGGGTGCCTAGCTCTTTTAGACTATCACTGATTTAAAAATGTGTACTGCAAATCCGTAAGTAATGTTGCTAATTATTTTGGAGGTGGCAGAGAGGGTCGTATTTAATGAGCCCCATTTTTTTATATCATTGTATCAAAAAAATTTCACAAAGACTCCTTGCACCGAACCCACTTAAATACCCGTTATGGTGCTTAGAGTATCCCTTTAAGTCCTGGACACAAGGAAACCTGTTTGACAAGTACTGTATTTTTTGGCGTGGGGGGGGAGTAAAAAGAATGGAGGGGGGGGGGGGGAGTAAAAAGAATGGAGGGAGTAAAAAGAATGGAGGGGGGATTAAAAAAATAATGGAGGGATTAAAAAGAATGGAGGAGGGAGTAAAAAGAATGGGGGGGATTAAAAAGAATGGAGGGGGGGATTAAAAAAGAATGGAGGGGGGGGGAGTAAAAAGAATATATCGCAATTAGCCTCCTGTGTGCTAGACCAGCAGGCATGGATTATATGCCCAAACAGCCTGGCACATACCTGGGCTTTAAATGCTATTTCAGATTATCATTATTTAATGTCTTGCTATGTAGCTCTGTCTGCTCACTGTACATCATGGCTAATTTTTATTTGGTGTTCATTGGAAGAGGGGTAGTCTTATACAGCGAGTATATCCCAAACTCTATATTTTAACTGGAAAAGTTGGGGGTCGTCTTATACGCCCAGTCGTCTTATACGCCGGAAAATACGGTAATTAACATTCATCTACATGAGCTTATTTACTAAAGAGAGATATGTACTGAAAGAAAAAAAAAAAAACATCACCTTTAAACCTTTAAGGACACATGACATGTGTGACATGTCATTATTATTATTATTATTATTGCCATTTATATAGCGCCAACGGATTCCGTAGCGCTTTACAATATTTTGAGAGGGGGGGGGTCATGATTCCCTTTTATTCCAGAAGTTTGGTCCTTAAGGGGTTAAACTAGTTAGCCATAAATCGCTGAGGTGGAGAATAATTACTATACTTTAAGGTTTGCCAATTTGGCCATATTTAAAATTTTTCACTTTAAAATTCAGCACAGCTCACTATCTCGTAATTAGATCCAATAATATAGGGAGGAGGACTGCAGGCAGCCAGCATTGTGTAAGTCTCCGCCTTTGGTTTGCAGGGTGACCATGCCATGAGGGTATTGAAATCTCTCTAGCTGCTCAGTCCCATATGCAGCAGATGGCTTCAGATGTGCACAAAATGTCAGAGCTGGAAGGTGGAGTTGCAAGTTCTTCCACGTTGACCAATGAAATCAATGATATCCAACGTTCTGAGAGTCCGGCCCCTGCACTGGCTCAAGGCACAGAACCAGGTAAGCGCGAATGAATGCTCTGCTTTGATGCTACAGTCTATTGAACAAAACGCTGAAAATCATCTATACTTTTTTTATTGTATTTTAAAAATGTAATCTCAATTCAGTTCAGGCACAGCTAGAACTCAATATGCAAATAAGTAGAGAAAAAGAAACGGTTTTGAATTCTCCTTTCTCTATGTTAAGTGACTGGTGCAAGGGGCAGGGCTTATATCAAAGATTGAACTGAAAGCCAAGATGGAGGCACCTAGTTCCAGGAGATAGGGGACATAGGGCAGCATGGATTCTACTTTGAACTTTACGTTTCAGATCTTACAAACATATATTTGTTAAATATAGAGTAATAAGTAAAAACAATCTTACCAATCCTGGGAATTTGCAGTTATCCTTTAATTGAATAGATTTAACAGATTGTGTAGCGTTTTACAATAATATGAGGGGGGATTTAACTATAAATAGGACAGTTACAGGAAAACTTACAGGAACAATAGGTTGAAGAGGACCCTGCTCAAACGAGCTTACATTCTATAGCTATGTGTCCTTCTAATCTCTTGGCTTCCCTTTTTTATTCGTCTTTCTTTTTTATACCCATTGTATTTCCTTATAACTTGCTTTCCTTTGTTGTGGACTTGCTGCAGTAGTCCTTAACCTAATATCAGGTCTCTGTTGGTTGAAACAGACATATGATAGTCCCCTGACCAAAATAAATAATTTACTGTATTGACAATGCCTTCCCTGTCCACCGGAAAAAAACACTGCTTTATGCCTAAAGGGTACCTATTCTGACAAATCCAACTTAATCTTAAATAATAGAGAATCAAATTACACCTATACATTGGGCTTGCAAAATTGCTAGCAAATGTTAGGATAAAAAAACAAACAACCCAACCCCATTCCTTATAGCAAGTCCAGTCTGTGCTGATCGGCTCAGAGATTAGAAAGTTGTGCTTTTTTCTCAAGGAAACCCCCCACTGGGCATCCCTCCTGCTTGAATTCATCCTAAGGGCAAGTAGGGGGAGGGGCAGTCTCTGTGACACCATCACCATCACAGAGAGAATCCACCAGAAAGACTTATTGCAGTAGCTTTGGACAATCTGGGAATGGAGAGTGAGAATAGATTAATTTTACTTGCACAAAGCCAACATAAAGTGGGAATAAATCTGTGTATTGATTCAGTGCTATGGGAAAGTTTGAATGTGCGCAACTGATTGCTTACATGCGCATTAGGTCACCAATGCTTCTTTTTGAGGAGCTTTGGATTGGACCATGCAGGAGGAAACCATTCCTCAGAGAGATGAACAGCACCAAGAGAGCCTTGGCGCTTTAAGAAAGTAAGAACTTGTTTTATTTTTTTTCTTGTTTTAATGGCAAGTTGGGGAATCCTCAGGCATCATCCCTTGATTGAGTGTTAAACTGTTGTCAAACATTTTAACAATAAATGAAAGTCCTAATGCTAACTTGGCCCCTGCTGGACGTATGGCTAAAGGGGAGCTTACACTCCAGTCACTGGAACTGAAAACTAATGTGTCCGCATTAGCCCAAGCAGCACAACGGGGAAGGTTGGGCTTCAGGCTGGCAAGGGACCCATATGCAGTGATGATAAACTGTTTAAACAATGTTTAACACTGTACAGGGGGAAAATTCCAGTGGTTTCCATGCATTATAAACACGTCAATTATATTAAGTAGATTTAGTGCCTAGAGTATCCATTCAAGGTCTGTAACTTTTGCCATACTACATCATTTGTCATAAGGAGGTTTGTAGACCACATTCAAAAGAGTACTGGAGTTTTTAGATTCTTTGCAAGTCAGACTGCCTTACCTTTTGTCTTCCTGATTGTTTCAGAATCACTCATTCTATTTTGTCTGTCTTCTCTTCCACTGCATTGATCTTGCTTCACTCCATCCATTTGAATCCTCAGGAGCTGGCCTGGATGAAGCCATGTTTGTGCATGCAAGATCTTATGAAGATCTCACAGGAGAAGAGGAGAACTCCTTGCCAGAAAGCCCTGGCGTCGAGGATGAGGTGGAGCCCAGTAACATGGAACAGATCAGCCAGGACTTTACCAAGCTCAGCACCCAACTAAGTGTAAGCTCCTTGCAGGATGATGAGCAAACCAAAGACGAGTCTCCAGATCAGGGGCCAAGGGACATTTCACATTCTGTAAGTGGAGAGGAGGATGGAGATGGGGCTTTCAATGACATTGATGCCTGGTTCCAGCACCAGAAACATGTGTTTGTCATAAGTGAGGCTGGGAAACCTGTGTATTCACGTTATCGATCAGAGGAAGTCCTTTCCAGCACAGCAGGGGTGATGATGGCACTTGTGTCCTTCCTGGAGACGGAGAAGAACGCCATCCGTTCCATTCATGCAGGTGAGTAAGGATAATGCTTCTTAATTGTACGGTTCAAAAAAGGAGGTGCTGAACACATATATTTAATAAATGGTAGAAAGATTACATATCCATGTTTTTAAAGGACCACTATAGGCACCCAGACCACTTCAGCTTAATGCGGTGGTTTGGGTGACTGGTGCAGCTAGGTTTAACCCTTTTTTCTATAAATGAAACTGCTATGTTTATAAATGGGTTAATCCAGCCCTAGTGGCTGTCTCATTGACAGCCGCTAGAGAGCTTCCGCGCTTCTCACTGTGATTTTCACAGTGAGAAGACGCCAGCGTCCATAGGAGAGCATTGTGAATGCTTTCCTATGGACTGGCTGAATGCGCGCTCGGCTCCTGCCGCGCATGCGCATTCAGCCTAAGAGGAGGAGGAGGAGAGCTCCCCGCCCGGCGCTGGAGAAAGAGGTAAGTTTAACCCCCTCCTCCCCCCTGAGCCCGGCGGGAGGAGGACCCTGAGGGTGGGGGCACCCTCAGGGCATTATAGTGCGAGGAAACGGATATGTTTTCCTGGCACTATAGTGGTCCTTTAACTGTTACCGAAAAAAAACATGTAAAGGCCGGTATTTATTTAACTTCATTCGTTTCTGCAAGCTTTCACTTGGATATTAAAATTGGATTTAGTTGTAGATGTTGTTTGTTGTTTGTGACGGAAGCTCCCGTGCCACGGCATTTTGGAGAGGCTTGAAAACCAGCCTCCTGCCAAAAGATTGTGTGCCTTATTCCAATAGTTATTGGTGCTATTGTCATTGTGGGGAGATGTATGTGGGCCCCAGACGCTAGGTTTTAGGACTTCTGGGAATTGCCTGTACTCTTTTTACAACTTGAGTGCTTGACCGGGAGATACTCTGAAACTGTTCCACGGATCGGGACTGTACCATGGTCCGGTCAATTTAAGAAGGTATTGTTCAATTAAGGGCTTGAAAGAGCTCCCCTCCCCTGAGGTCCAGATATGGTAACTTTTAATACGCTGCAAATTTTTCAATCACTGCACTTTTTTGACAAAGAGGGCACTCGGTGATAAGCTGACAAGGACGATATATTGTGTGGGGGTTCGGTAAAGGGAAAGGGGCTCTGGCAGACATCTTGTGTGCTGTGCCTCGAGGACTATGAGTGCACCGCAGGGAGATGATTCTGTTCGCTGGGGATAATGTGATTTAAGTTTCTCAGAGTGGTGCTGGTGAGAGATAACTGCACTGTAAATTCTACTGTATGAAAGCTCCCTGCATGGAGGGTCAACATTGTTCTATGTAAATAGCTGTGTAATAAAAAAAAATAATTTTACTGCCTACATTCACACTCGTCTAATTTGTAAGGAAAAGCTGCAGTAAAGCTATAATCACTGCTCTACATGTGAGAGGGTCTGCAGAGCTATATTCACTGCAATAGTCTGGTTTAGTGGAAGAAGTCCTCGGAGACCCTAGTCAAGCTACAGGACTGGATCTGAAGTGCTCCAGGGATCCTGGTAGCAGAGCAAAAACTGACCTAGCGGGGTACTTTAGTCAGTGTGCAGGAGCTTCATCACATTGTTGTTTTGCCTTTAAATTATTTTTTTCTTTAAATCCAAAGTATGTTTACAGTGTTTGTACTATCAAAAAAACAAAAAACACAATAACTTAAATTTAAAGGACCACTATAGGCACCCAGACCACTTCAGCTTAATGAAGTGGTCTGGGTGCCAGGTCCAGCTAGGGTTAACCCTTTTTTCTATAAACATAGCAGTTTCAGAGAAACTGCTATGTTTATATTAGGGTTAATCCAGCCTCTAGTGGCTGTCTCATTGACAGCCGCTAGAGGCGCTTGCGTGCTTCTCACTGTGATTTTTTTGAGAATGCTTTCCTATGAGACTGTCTGAATGCGTGCGCGGCTCTTGCCGCGCATTCAGCCGAGGAGGAGAGCTCCCCGCCTGGCGCTGGATAAAGAGGTAAGTTTAACCCCTTCCTCACCCTAGAGCCCGGTGGGCGGGGGGCCCTGAGGGTGGGGGCACCCTCAGGGCACTATCGTGCCAGGAAAAAGAGTATGTTTTCCAGGCACTATAGTGGTCCTTTAAAGTCAGTCCTAGTGTCTAATATCAGTAATGAATGCAGCCTTGGAAACACATTTGCTTTACTTAGGCAGATCACACTTTTTAGGTACAAATAAGCTTTTATGAGTTTGGCTCAAAACTTATTCTGACATTTTAGTGTGGTCTAACATGCTCTTTATTTCTTTGTTTCTTTCTGCAGATGGATATAAGGTGGTGTTTGTCCGTCGTTCTCCTCTAGTACTGGTCTCTGTGTATCATACTCTTCAGTCAGAACTGGAGATTGCTCAAGAGTTACTGTATGTCTACTACCAAATACTTAGTCTACTAACAGGAACTCAGCTCCACCATCTCTTCCAGCAGCGACCCAGCTATGACTTGCGACGTTTACTTGCCGGCTCTGAAAGAATTACAGACAGCCTGCTGGATCTGATGGATATTGACCCCAGCTTTTTACTGGGAGCTGTTCGATGTCTGCCCCTTGCTCTTGCAGTCAGAGGTTATATAAGCTTTTTTCTTCTTCAGGCCAAAGCCAAGAGCCTGGTCTTTTCAATTCTTATGTCGAGGAACCAGCTGATCAGTCTGGTCAGAAAAAAGGACCAATATCTGCACCCACTTGACGTGCATTTGCTCTTCAACCTGGTCACGTGCTCCAGTTCCTTTAAGGAAGGTGAAGCATGGACACCAGTTTGCCTTCCCAAATTCAACCCATCTGGCTTCTTCCATGCTCACATTTCCTACATTAGCCAAGACCCTGAGCTCTGTCTGCTGCTTATTTCCACTGACCGAGAAGACTTCTTTACTGCATCTGACTGCAAACGAAAAATTGTGGAGAGTCTAGAGAAACATGCATGTTGGCCCCTATTGAAAGAAGCTCTGAAAAATCCCTTCTATGATGTTGCCAGTATTGGGGTCCCAGAACTAAGGCATTTTCTCTATAAATCTAAGAGTTCAGCTTTCTTCACCAGGTAAGTGGGTGTATTAGCATAGTTAGAATATCAAGTAACAGTTCCAGAGAAATGGATAAGGAAGTCAATGCTATAACCGTAAGTCCAAATAAAGTATATTAAAGGCTTCTTTGTAGGCCCCTCTAAAGTTTTGACACATTTCTGTAAAATATCCTAAATGTTTGAATATATTACATAATTTTATAGGCTGAAAAAGACTTTCATCCATCAATTTCAACCTTTCTCCCATCTGTATCTGCTGTTAATCCAAAAATAGCCCTTTCGAATTTTACAGCAAACTAGACAAAAAAAAAATAATTTAAGTCCAGAATGGCAGTCAGATTTCTTCTTCGATCAAGAAGCTTATTTCACTTGTTCAGCCGAAAAAGTTACCATTAATAACAACTCTCTGTTCTTTCTTTAAAAAAAAAACACTATACATCCAGACCAATTCATCTCAATAAAATGGTCTGGGTGCTATGTGTCCCCCATTTTAACCCTGCAATTGAAGACCTTCCCCTTCTGCAGGATCGGCATGGTTTCTTTGCAGGGTTAATCTACCTCTAGTGGCTGTCATACTGACTATCTCTATGATCGATCTCGATGATCTCAACTAAAGAGATGGAGCGGCATGTAGCAGACCAGCGATGCGAAAAGGTAAATAATCACCTCTCTTAACCCAGCAGAGCTGGCCTCATTACCTAAACTGTAACTAGGGCACTCTAGCATTTGGAATAAATATTTCTATACTCAACTCTAAAGTGTTCCTTTAAGCCAATGTTCTACCTAAGAACAGGAATTTTAATCTAGAACAATTTCTTTAAGTCTGAATACAAACCTATTGTGTGGAACCATATTAAATAAAATCCAAGTGGTTAACCGCCACTGCTACATACTGATTTATACTTCTTACTACTTTTTAGAAGAGTTAGTTTGACTTTAGTTTAATAAAACCATGCTGATTTTTGATCATGTTGTTGTTGTTCCTAATGAATTTCTGAAAATTAGTCGTTAATAACTTTTCGAATATTTTCCCAGTCACAGAAGTTAAGCTCACAGGTCTATCAAATATTTTGAACCCCTTTTGAATATAGGAACCTCATCTACCTTCCTCTAATCCTCTGGTACAGTTCCTGAAAGAAAAGAATCTTGAAAGATTAAAACGATTCACTTTTTTCCACACGTAGCTCCTTAAGTACCTGTGGGCGGTGGCGTACCTACCACGGTTGCAGCTGCAACCATGGGCCACCACAACTTCAGGGCCGGTGCATGGCCGCACCAGCCTGGGGCCCGCGGTTGCTGGGTGACCGGCAGGAGGGGAGTGCTGTGCTGCTCACCTCGTGCCAAACTCTGGCTGTAGCGTGGTCGAGTGGATCGTGGTCTCACAGGAAGTGCTTACTGAGATAGCACATCCTGTCAGACAGGGTACCACTCTGCCATGTTACACAGAGTCAGAAGGTACAGGAGGTGTGAGAGGGAATGAGACAAATGGAGGGATCGGGGGGGGGGAGGGGGATGGAGACACATGTTGGGATCGGGGGGAATGAGACACATGGGTGGGGGATGAGACACATAGAGGGCTTAGGCGGGAGAGGGAATGAGACACATGTGGGAGGTGTCTGGGGGGGAATGAGACACATGGGTGGGGGATGAGACACAAAGAGGGCTCAGGCGGGAGAGGGAATGAGACACATGGAGAGACTGCCGGGGAGAGGGAATGAGACAAATGGCGAGGCTGCCGGGGAGAGGGAATGAGACACATGGCGAGGCTGCCGGGGAGAGGGAATGAGACACATGGAGAGGCTGCCGAGGAGAGGGAATGAGACACATGGAGAGGCTGCCGAGGAGAGGGAATGAGACACATGGAGAGGCTGCCGAGGAGAGGGAATGAGACACATGGAGAGGCTGCCGAGGAGAGGGAATGAGACACATGGAGAGGCTGCCGAGGAGAGGGAATGAGACACATGGAGAGGCTGCGGTTGTGGGGTGGATGAAACACATGGGGGGGGAGGGGGAGGCAACTTTTTCACTGTGGCCCTATGTTTTCTAGTTTCTCCTCTGCCTGTGGGTAAATACCATCTGGCCCTAAAGCATTTTCTTTCTTTAGATGCTGCAGCACTGTGAGTCATCCTTTCTGTACATATTTTTTTTTTTTTTTGCAGCAATGAGTTGCAGATCTCTTGCATTGGGTTCCTCCACATTTTTGCTATTTTCTTTTTTTCTATCCATCCTAAGCAATGTGTAACTGTCCAGTCATGTGTTTGATTCCACCATGTTTCCATTGTTGTCATTTTGCTTAGTGTATGCTATTGCCTCTAGTTTCCCCATTTTATAGAGGCTTCTTGCAAGCATCCATTTAATTGTCATAACCCACTTGTACTGTATATATAACCCTTTACTATATCCCTTCTCTGTTCTAAACTTTCTGTTACTGCACCATTTCCTCCTGCCTTCCCCCTGAGTTAAAGCCCATCTCCTTTCTGTTCTATCTTCATTTTGTAGACTTTTGTGTCCCTCCCCATCACTTGTTTAAAAGCTCCTCCCAACCTTCTAGCCATACAGTCCCCTAGCACAGAATATTCTCTTGCGATTTGATGCAAGCCATCATGGCATGGCACATTCTTTAGAAAACTCTCCATTTTCGTCTGACGTTGACTTTTTTTTTTTTTTTGACATTCTTTATTTTTGTTTTTCATTATTAAATCACAGCATGTATATTCCATACAATTTAACAGGTGATGACGAATAAACAGGTCAGTTATGAGTATAACAGCATCAAGATGGTTTCAACAACTGGTTGATAGGTTGTGTTTGAGTTTTTAGCGTCAATAAAACAATAACCAATCTGATGTGTTGTGATATGTCATTGGCCCTGTATGGGGTTAGTCCCCTGTGTGTTTGGGTGTGTATGGGGTTTGCGGTTAGTCCGCAAGATTCATGCGTGGAAGTGTGTCTCCGTCGTGCTGGGGATGTAATCTACTCGTCTGGTACTTGCTATGTCTGTGCAATGATCTGTCGGGGGGGTTGTATTGGTGCGGGGGCGCCGTCCATCTCCACCGGGCCTCCTCCTCCCGTCCTTTTTGATGTGTAGTCCATCCATGGGTACCACATCACGGCGCATTTTTCCTGGCGTCCCTGCAGGGAGGCTGTCATCATCTTCATGTTATATATCATCTCCACCCTATCTACCCATTGTTGTAGGGTTGGAATCGTCGAGCTTTTCCAGAGGAGTGGGATGAGCTGACGTTGACATTTGTACCACTATAGACCATAACAGCCAGGTCATCCCCAGCCCCTCACAAAAATCCATCCACTTTATCAGCAACATGTTGGACCCAGGCACCATAAGTAAACTATCCGGTTCTGGAGATCAAAGCGGAATATTACTCTGTCCACTACCACCACAATCTGCTTAGCCTTTCTTATATTATTGATCACGCATACTAGTAAGGCTGTTCCCCAGGCTGTTAGAATAAGGAGCTTCTCCAGTACAGCTATTGCTCCTGGTCTGAAGCTCCCAACATCTATAGCCAAATGGGCAAATCTACTAGGTTTCAGAAAATCATGACTAGCCAAACCTTTCCGTATACCTCCCCACCCCCTTGCAACCACATGTAGCTGTTTTGAAAATTGAAAGGGATGGCAACTTCTGGAGTTCCATTGGTTTGTTCCATCCTCCTCCTCTTTGCCACTTAGATGGCCAAAGAGAGTCTTAACAACTTAAGCTGCTAGCTCTGATATAGTGATGTAGAGCAAGACTCCATAGGGAACCAAATAAAAACAACTAAAAAACTACAAACAAGAAAACCACCACTGTATAGTGCACGAAAACTTGCATGCATTTGATTATGCATTTTGATTCATTGAGGATATATCTACAAAAAACAAACATTTGCAAGGCTGCAGGCATGAGAACTACAGGTTTTGCAAGTCCTCCCCTCCTAACTCAGCCCAGACTTTCTTTGACTGTCCAATCACAGTCTTCCCAATGCAGCTCAATGAGAAGTCTTCGAAAGACAGATGATCTGAGCAATTGCTGCCTTTTGAATTTAGCTCCACTGAGCTAACCAAATCAGGAAGTAACATAATCTGTTGTCTGATTGACAACCAGGGGGGTGTTAAAAAGTTAGTTTATAAAAGTGCCAATTTCTATTGAAAGCTGCACTTTTTGTAAAATGAAAAGAGGACCACTCTTCACACATAGAGCACTTCACCAAGCTAAATTGCTTAAGGTCTTTGGAGCGTCTCTTTACGATTAAAAGGATACTACAACCACACTCTGGGCACCAATACAATTTAATAAGTTTTGATCTCCTATTCTAGCAGCATTTCCTTCCACTTGTAAAATCACCAATAATCTATGGATGGAACTGCTATAAAAGACTTCCATCTGAAACCACAACTTTACATATACATTTGCTGCAAGAAACCAGTCAGACCACCAAACCCAGAACTGATGCTTTTCATTCTAATAAACAGACTTTCTGAAAGAAAAATGTAACCGTATATTGACATGGGATGCACAAACCATTCTAAAATACAGAGAAGTGTTTGTGTTTGGAAGCCTTGCATTCTTATGTTCCTATAGAGCAGACTTTTGCATAGCAGATATTGCAAGAGAACCTGGATTTGCACATGGCACAGAGTTTAGATCAGAAGGCAAAATTCATATACCAGCAATTTGACAAAAGGATGATAATAATATGGGGGATTAACTCTGCTTGTAACTTTAAAATAAAATTAATTTCACTTATACATTATCCGTCCAATTATTTGTAGTGTGTGAACATACGCTGAGTGTTAACCTCATACAATGAGCATTTAGATTGATTCCGCTCTGCCCCAAAAAACGATTCCATTCTAATAAAAGATACAAGGGAGATTCAGCTGCCCTGAAATGGCTGCATCAGAAATTTTAACTATTGCAATATTTCCACAGAGCTACTCATTGCATAGTGCATGCTCATATAAACATGAGGGCAAACAAAGTGAAATTATTTTTTGGAGAAAAGCTGAATGGGCTTAATGTACCAGGGAAATCTCTGGGTTTTGGCAAGTATGCTCCAGTGGTAATTGTGCTTACAGTGTACCTTAAAGGACCACTTACGTCACCTAGCTCACTTAACATCAAATACATGATTTGGATGCGGTGACCCTGTCATGGCTTGGTTATAAACTCCTCTAGTGACTGTCTCCTCCAGAAGTGAGTGAAAATCGGGTTGACATCAAATGCTGCTGATAGACGATTTTTGATTGTAGGTGTGCTGCATTTGGCCATGCATACCTTGTTCCAATCCATTGCTTCCAATCCATGAAGTAGAGGAGATCACAGGTGGAGGATCCTTGATACTGGAAACGAGTATTTAAGTTAAACAATCACAGCAGATTCTTCTTGGGATGGACGTGTGGACGTAACATGCCGCGCACGTAATGAGGAGGGGCTGATGCCACGAGTCCCTAAGGAGCACACAGAGAGTGGTGAAATTTCCCTTGCCCGGGCCATCTAAAGCGAAACTACATACCAGGGCTTCGGCGCAATACTGGAAGCAAGGACTTAACAGACTTGCCGGTATGCGATTGTCCTGATCCACGTTGGGCGGACGATGAGCTGAATGCTAATCACTGGGAGATATATTCACCCTTCTGGGATAAGCTACCCAGATAAGATATATATTTTTTTCTCTTTTTCTTTTTATAAGCTTGGTATTACCACACAAGTGGATAATAAGCAATATAAGAGATACTTATATGACATAAGATATCTTGTTAAAAACCTAATTCCATCTGAATAACTTCTTCATTATAAACAGACTTTTTTTTTTTTTTTTTGGACACTGCATATTGGTAGGAGAGCAGAGCAAGAGTTAAAGGAAGGAAAGAAAGGAGGAGAAGAGGGAAAGGAGAGAAAAAGGGAAACAGAACATCAAGACTGACGTCATCTGCAATCGGCTTGGTATTACTACACAAGTTGAATAGAAGGAATATAAGGGACACTTATATGATCTAAGATAAAAGATAGCTCGTTAAAAATATAATCCCATGTGAATAACTCCTTCATTATAAACTAAGGCCATCCTTTTTTTTTTTTTTTTTTTTAAATGGCTACCAAAAAAGCCGCTCTGGTCTCAAATGTCTCAACAAAAAGCGATAGGAGGGACCCAAAACAGGATAAGAATCTGGATGGGTACTTCTCTCAGCAAACCAAAGAAAAGAGAGAATCCTCAAATTTTTCCACATCTGTTTTGGAATCTTCCATTACAGATATAAATAAAGATGATGAAGAAATTACTATTAAAACCTTTAAACTCAAGTCTTCAAGCCGTATTAGAGGAAATAAAGAAGGAAATTTCCTCAAACTCTGCAGCAATACGTGCTGAAATTAGAAGTGAACTAAATAGGTTATCAGATACATTTCAGGCTATGGAGGACAGACTAATAAACACAGATTTTCAGATGGCAACTCTAAATGATGAAGTAAAAGCTATGGCTGTAAAGATTCAAAACCAAGAGAATAAAATAGAAGAACTAGAAGATCGCTCACGAAGAAACAATCTCAGATTTCGCAATTTTATGGAAACTAACAATCAAGACAATTTGCAAGAAGTTTTAAAGGAATATTTCTTAGCCTTGGGCCTCCAGGTAAATGGATTTGATGAAAAAATAGTCAGATGTCATCGTATTCATAAGCCAGCAAATCTGTCTTCTGAAATTCCGAGATACATAATTGCTTCCTTCTATTCATCGGAATTTAAAGAGAAAGTACTAAGTGCTAGCAGAGATAAAATTATTAACGATGGCCTTTATTCAAAGATAATTGCTCTGCCAGATCTATCTTTTGGTAAGGATTTTTGCTCCAGAGATAAGCATCATCAAGAGACACAACATTTAAATGGCTTTCCCCTACGAAGATGGTCATATATACAGATGGTCAGGCAGAGACTTTTGACCACCCAGATAAGTTAAAAACATGAATGATGAATAAATCTCTCCACTGACTCTTTTAGTCATTACATTATATCGGATGGCTTGGGAGTTTTTTTTTTTTTTGTTTTTTTTATATATATATAATGGAAATCTTCTCGGATACTTCAATTTAGTATTGTACACAGGTGAAATAAGGCTGAATGATGTATTAATTATTTTATCACTAAAGCACTATCTTATTTTTTTGCTACAATATATCACAGATTAATAGAGGTCCTATTAGGATTAATAATTATTATATTTGATGCTACAGTAATCATCACGATAAGAAGTAGGAATTTCTAGGCAATTAAATATTATAAAAGGGAGGGAGGAGAAGGGGATATAACTAACCACAGATAAATGTTTAAATTGATAAAATGATCTAACTCACATTAGAATAAATTATGTTTAAGGTTGAAGTAATGAACGCGTACTCCACTTAAGGTTATAGTAATCATTGGATTGATTTAGTAAATTTTGTAGCAATACAGCACTTTATATGATATATCATATTTAATTAATAATATTATTGTTATGGTTTTTTTTTTCTCTCTTCTCTTCTCGGTATATGTATATAACATGAGCTTAAAGGTGATTTTGGGCAATGGCCTCAGCCCCTCTTTCTGTGTTTTAACACAGGTATTCCAAATCTTCCAGTCTTAGCAAGGTTGTTGGAACCCATGGCTTGTAGACCATGGGGTCATATTGTGTTAATTGTAGATGGAAGTAAGGTGTTCCATCTTTTGTTTGTCTTGTCCAATGTATTGGTTGTTTTTTTCTTGGACACTGCTTTTATGTATATTTTAAAAGACCCTTACTATTGAATAGTATATTGGTAAATAAGTTAAGGGCTGGAATACAGGTAATTTCTAGGTACAGTATAATTACTCCTTCTAAAATTTAGATGTTGAGATTTAAGTCTATCAATGTACAGGGTTTGAATACAAGGTGGAAGAAACAGATACTATGAGTCTGTGATTTCCCATAAAATTCAGATACTCTTTCTTCAAGAAACTCATTGCATTAAGTCAGCAACACAAAAATGGGGTGGAGAAAAATATAAATACATTTATCAGGCATCTCTAGATAAAGATAAGAAACGTGGGGTAGCGATTTGTAATTGATTAATATCTTAAACACGATATAAAATTAATAGATTTGGATCCTAGTGCTAGATTCCTTATTATCATATGTTCTAAGATAAACTATTTACTTTAGTAAATGTGTATTTACTAAATCTTAATCCAACAACACTTCTGTCCAAAATTCTTTCTAGAATAGAGCACATCATTTCTGGTACCTTAATTATTATGGGCGATTTTAACTGTGTTTTCGACCCACATATTGATAAAAAATCTTGCCATAAGCTGAAGTCTGATGGGCAAGTCTGTAAGCAAGCTAAGACATTGACAAACCTAGCTGCTCTTTACGGTCTAGATGATGCTTGGCGAATGTTCCATCCAGACACTGCTGATTTCACACATCTGTCTAAGGTCCACAATTCCTATTCCCGAATAGACCTCTGTTTGGTTAAAGCCACTACCCTTAAAGAAATAGAAATTATCCAAATTAAGGACAATACATGGTCAGACCACTCCCTTCAGATTCTCCAGTTAGGAAGGTCAATACAGAATTTGATGAACTCTTGGAGAATAGATGATTCTCTTTTTAAACTTAAGGTAAATTTCAATCTTATAATAGAATTATCTAGATTCTACTGGAATGAAAACCTTAACCATGATATTTCGGATTCCTCTTTGTGGGCAGCTTATAAAGTAGTCATTAGAGGATATCTTATTAAAATGGAAAAAAAATTCTAAAAAATTGTTGAATAGGGACCTGGTGGACCTAAACATATTATACTTCAATACCTCTAAATTGAATAAGGATCACCCAACGCCTCAACTTAGTGCAAGATTAGTTGAACTCCAAAAACTTATTAATGTAAAATTAGAGGAAAAAATTAAAGTAACTATTAATAAATTAAGATTAAATTCTTCTTATCAAGGTAACAGGGCGAATAAGAAATTAACTACGAGGTTAAAAAAACAAAATATTACTAATAGAGTCAATAAACTCGTTGAAAAAAGGAATAACATATTCCTCTCCAGAAACTATTGGCCAAACATTTAACGAATTCTATACTAAACTTTATAATCTCAACATCGTTTCTGATAGGACTGGAATAAAACAGTACTTAATAAATACAATTATTCCTAAGGTTACTGACTTGGAATTGGATCAGGTTAATTTTGAAATTACATTAGATGAGGTGGAAATACAGATAGATAAACTAGAACTCCTAAAGACACCTGGGCCGGATGGATTTAGCAATGGTTTTTACAAAATTATGAAAAAAGAAATCAGTAAGCCTCTTGTGGCCTTCTTTAATGAAATCTCTCTAAAGACCACAATCCCAGATGAATTTTTACAAGCCAATATTCTCCCAATTTTAAAAATGGATAAAGATCCTACTGATGTCAGAAATTATAGACCAATTTCTTTAATAAACACCGATTTAAAAAATCTATGCAGCAATTCTAGCAAATAGACTAGGACTGTGTATTGAGAAATTGGTCCATTCAGACCAGGTAGGATTTGTTCAGGGCAGGTCTTCAGATACCTGCACTAGGAGCATCATAGATATTCTTGATCTTATTGAGCGTCGGGAGATCCCATTTTTGGCCCTGTCACTGGATGCAAAGAAAGCCTTTGACAGGGTCAGCTGGGGATTCCTCAACGAGATATTAACCTCCTTTGGTTTCATGGGTTGGATGATGCCATAATGGCCCTTTATTCTAGACCCCAAGCTGGAACTATAGGTGTTAATATTATGTCCGATTGGTTCAGTTTGAAGAACAGTACACGTCAGGGTTGCCCTTCATCCCCCCTTTTGTATATTCTTACACTCGAGCCGCTTGCAATTAATATTAGAAATAACTCAAATATTGAGGGCTTTCTAATAAATAAAAAAAAACGGGAGGTAAAAATATTCGCATATGCCGATGATATATTAATTACACTTACGGCCTTGGAAGCTTCATTAAGTTTTTCTTATGCAAACGACCAATATTCTAAAGTTTCTAAGTCAACTGCCATAACTATGAATATTGATAAATATAGATTAGATGAACTAAAATACCGTTTTGACTTTAGATGGTCTGATGGTAATTTCACTTATCTCGGCATTACAATTTCTTCCCAGGTTAGCAAAATTATGGAAATAAATGTCCTAAACCTTTTAAAATATACAAATATAAAGTTGAAAGAGTGGCGAAACTTAGAAATGTCTTGGTCTGGTAGAATAAACATAATCAATTAATTTATCATTCCTAAATGGACATATTTATTTAGAATGATACCTTTGGCTGTCCCAGACAGTTGGCTTACAATGATTCAGTCTAGTATCCAACTCTATATCTGGCAAGGTAAAAAAACAAGAACCAGTAGGAAGGTGTTATCGAGAAAATACAACCAAGGAGGATTGAACTATCCAGATATTAGAACATGCTACTTTTTAAATATTATCACTCATGTATCTAAATTTCAAGTCGAATCCTTTAGAGATGACGTTTGGTATAAGATTGAGTCAGAGGTTGCGAGTAAGGATAGACTTGAATTTTTCCTATGGTTCAACAGTGGGGAAAAAAATTTCAAACGACCTCAATCAAATATCACTGGTTCTGTCACAAATGGTTAGGGCTTGGGATCTTGTAAAGAAGCTCTTGAATATTTCTAATAGGGTTATTAATACATATCATTTGGAGGTTTTAGAACATAATATGCTGGATATATCACTTCAAAATTGGCCTAAGTCCCGTAGATCTATTAAAGAAATTATACAGAATGACTTAATAATGTCTTTCCAAGAGATACAAGTTAAATTCTCTCTCCCTAATAAAGAACTCTTTACCTATCTTAGGATAAAGAATTTTCTTGGTTTATCACTGCTGAAATCTACCTGAGAAAGTTTATTATTTTATTCAGAAGATTTTTAATTATTCAAAAGTTAAAAAAGTTCTTTCAAAATCTACTAATTGATTTCAAGCTTAGATCAAGCTCCACTAAATAAGATAAATGGAAAAAGGAATTAGAGATCGACTTTACTGATAACGATTGGTGTGCTACTCTTATAGATATTCGAAAAAATATTCACTGCCTGAACATAATAGAATGTCAGTATAAGCTTATGAATAGATGGTATATGACCCCAGATAAAATAAGTAAGATGTATCCTGATCAATTACCACATTGTTGGCGATGCGGAAGTTTAGATGGGTCTCTCATCCATATAAGGTGGTACTGTAACTTAGTTAAATGCCTTTGGAACTGGTGTTTTGACGCGTTGAATTCTTTGTTTAATATTTTAATTGGAAAGGGCCCAGATATTGCTCTTCTGCATTTAAACTGGAATGTTTCGTCCTCTGTATCTAAATATTTAATAATTCACTGCTTTTTAGCAGTTAAAATTACAATTGCAAGACAATGGAAGTCTCGCTCATTATTCCAAAGGAGACAATTTAATGATCAATTATTATTCCAGCTTCGCATAGAAAAGATTTTATGGGTTCCTCATCCTATTTTATAGATAAACATCAACATTTTGTTAAATGGATTGAGATGTTAGAAAATATACAATTACTGTTTGTTGACCTATGATATAATCCAACACCACATGTACGAGAACCATGTTTACATCTGGAATATTTGACTGTAACTTAACATATTTGCTGATTCTGTATAGAGGTTCTAATGTTAATAATTTAACATTTGATGCAGTAGTACTGTTTGCCATACTTGATTACAATTAACCTCATTATCAAATTTATGTAAGCACTTGTCCTTTTAATGTTTGATTTTATGTTGTCCATTTTTGACAATGATCACATTGCTATAAGGAAATCTCTAGATCCAAAATAGCGATTATTTTCAGGACTATAGGTTCCCTTTAAAAGACGCATTCTGCTAGGAAAATGTTTGGAGTATATATTCTAACAAGCCCAGAATAAGATCTTATAATTCACATTTTGTGCTGTTAGAATGTAACTTCTGATCTGGTTATTTGGACTTCGCCAAATAAATGCATTGATAATTGAAACAGATTAAACACTGAATCAGAATTATTACAATTTTACCTTGAAGAGATGTATACAGTTACCCATAGAACAAAACTTTAAACCTGTGCAATCAGCAGAAATATTGTTTCCATGTTGATTGCTTCTTCTTTTTTTTTTTTTATATAAACATACCCCAACAATTTCTATCTCTACCACACCCGTGTGTGCCTCAAAGTTCTTTTTTATGTGTAGCTCTGTTTGCAATATAACTAAATCCACTGCTGTCCATGACTTCTTCATCTCTCGTTCAATAGATTTACTAGCCTTAACAGAAACCTGGCTCTCCCCCTCTGACACTGCCACCCCTGCATCTTTGTCCTTCGGTGGTCTCCATCTTACCCACAACCCAAGAAACTCTGAATGTAAAGGTGGTGGTGTTGGGTTTCTCCTCTCCCCCACTGCTCTTTTAAAGCTCTTCCCACCCCCCCCCCCTTCCCTCTCTTTCCCGTCATTTGAAATACACTCAATTCGCCTTTTCAAACCCTTCTTTGCTAACATTGCTGTTATTTACCGTCCCCCTGGTTCCCCTCTTCTCTTCCTTGACCACTTTGCTGCCTGGCTACCCTATTTCCTCTCTTCTAACATTCCATCCCTAATTCTCGGGGACTTCAATATTCCTATTAACCCACCTTTGACCTCTGCAGCCAATAAACTACTTTCAATTACTTCCTCCCTCGGGCTATCACAGTGGGCAAATTCTCCCACCCATGTAGCTGGCAATACCCTTGACCTAATCTTCACTTATGCATGTACTGTATCTAATATCTGCAACACTCCGTATCCACTCTCTGATCACCACCTCTTATCGTTTGCTCTCACGTACCCCCTCACCCAACAACCTCCGCCTAACCAGCCTCAACTCAGGAGGGACCTTAATTCTCTTGATCTCCAACAGTTGTCAGCTGACATTGATTCACAACTGCTGTCCATCCCTTCCCTCTACTGTCCTTCACTGGCCATCTCCATATATAACTCTACTCTTACATCTGCCTTGAACACTGCAGCGCCACTCCAAACAAGCACCTCAAGGAGGACCTGCCCCCAACCATGTCATACTAAATCAACGCGCTACCTGCAAAGATGATCCCGTTGTGCTGAACGCTCCTGGAGGAAGTCTCGCACCCAGTCAGACTTTCCCCATTATAGATTCATATTGTGTTCACACAGTGCAGCCCTTGCCCTTGCCAAACAGTCCTATTTTTCCTCTCTCATTAGTTCATGTTCCCGCAACCCCAGGCATCTCTTTGACACCTTTAATTCTCTTCTTCGCCCCGCTGTGGCCACCCCCCAAACCAACCTTACTGCTGATAACTTTGCATGTTACTTCACTGACAAAATTGAACAGCTAAGGAAAGAATTCTCCCCTCCTTGCCTTTCTGTTTCTCAATCACACATAGATCATGCCTTTCCTACCCTTCAGACATTCTCCCCAGCCACTGACCAAGAGGTGGCTGCTCTTCTTTGCTCCTCTCGCCCCACCACTTGCCTGCTCGATCCTGTCCCATCTCACCTTATCAGATCTCTCTCCACTTTTCTCGTGCCTTCTCTAACACACATCTTCAACTGCTCGCTCTCTTCTGGCATCATCCCTGCTGACCTTAAACATGCCACTGTAGTACCTATACTTAAAAAAAACATCCCTCGACCCGTCCACCCCCTCTAACTACCGTCCCATATCCCTGCTCCCTTTTTCCTCAAAGCTTCTGGAAAGACTTGTCTTTACCCGTGTGTCTCATTTCCTCAATTCCAACTCTCTCCTTGACCCCCTTCAATCTGGCTTCCGCCCTCTCCACTCTACAGAGACTGCCCTTATCAAAGTTACTAACGACCTAATCGCAGCTAAATCCAAAGGCCACTACTCCATACTAATTCTTCTTGACCTCTCAGCGGCCTTTGACACCGTTGATCATGCTCTCCTTCTTCAAACTCTGCAATCGCTTGGTCTCTGTGACTCTGTCCTCTCATGGTTTTCCTCTTATCTCTCCCAACGCTCATTCAGTGTCTCTTTTTCTAATGATACCTCCTCCCCTCGCCCTGTCTCGGTTGGAGTCCCCCAAGGCTCCGTCCTTGGTCCCCTTCTATTTTCTCTTTATACTGCCTCTCTTGGCAAACTTATTACCTCATTTGGTTTCCACTACCACCTGTACGCTGATGACACCCAGCTATATCTCTCCTCCCCGGACCTCTCCCCTGCTGTCCTGCAACGTGTCACTGCTTGCCTTTCTTCCATCTCTGACTGGATGTCCTCCCGCTTTCTGAAACTCAATCTCTCAAAAACTGAGCTCCTTGTCTTTCCTCCTCCTAATACTGATCCTCCTCTTTCGCTCTCCCTTCAAGTCTGTGGTACCAACATCAGCCCATCCTTGCAAGCGCGCTGTCTTGGCGTCATACTTGACTCTGGTCTCACCTTTGAGCCTCACATCCAGCATGTTGCCAAATCCTGTAGATTCCATCTTAAAAACATAGCCCGCATCCGCCCCTTTCTTGCACCAGATACTACCAAGGAGCTTGTCCATGCTCTAGTAATTTCCCGCATGGATTATTGTAACCCTCTCCTGCTTGGTCTTCCCAAAAGCCGTACTGCACCCCTACAGTCTGTAATGAACGCTGCTGCTAGACTGATTTTCCTCTCTAGTCGGTTCTCTCACACCTCACCCCTCTGCCAGTCCTTACATTGGCTTCCTGTGTGCTATAGGAGTCAATTCAAGGCACTAACTCACACCTATAAAGCACTGAACAACTCTAGCCCCTCTTATATCTCCTCACAGATCCATAGGTATGTCCCTTCTCGGTGTCTCCGCTCTGCCCGTGACCACCTCCTGTCCATTGTCCGCACCCGTACGGCCAACTCGCGCTTGCAGGACTTCTCGCGGGCACCTTCCTATGGAATAGCCTGCTTCCAGCCATCAGACTCTCCCCTAATCTTGCATCTTTTAAGAAGTGCCTTAAAACCCATCTCTTTAGGAAAGCTTATGGCCTCCAAGACTAACCCCTACCTCAAATACCTGTCTCTTGCCCTCTCCTAAAGGGCAGCCCACCTAATTTGATTGCAAATTCCTGTCCTAATGTGTTTTACACCCCACCTCCTATAGAATGTAAGCTCGATTGAGCAGGGTCCTCTTCAACCTATTGTTCCTGTGAGTTTTTTGTAATTGTCCTATTTATAGTTAAATCCCCTCTCATAATATTGTAAAGCGCTACGGAATCTGTTGGCGCTATATAAATGGCAATAATAATAATAGTTGACCATGTTTTTTGTTTTTGTTTTTTTTTTCTGATCCTTTCTAATGTGCCACCCTTCCAGTTTTAATGTTTTTTTTTGTTTATGATTTAATGATCTGACTGTTCATTGGCTGCAGAGTACCTTGATTGACAGTGAAGGTCTCGAAAATACCAAATTACAATAATCCACAATTTTGAAAAGTGAAAGCTGCTGCACATCTCTTTACTTATCTAGGTTTTACCTGCTGAACTAGAAATAACAGAACTTAGGGAAGATCTGCAACTTTGTGCCTGAACTCTGCAAGTTCATGTTTACCTTCTCACAGCCAGCCCTATAGGATGGGGCCTGCGAACTAAAGAGGGGAGGGCAACATAATGTGGGCAATGGGGGGACAAAAACAAAACTATTGTAATGATGGTGGAAAGCTTGCTCCCCCCTTCCTACCTGTGACCAGCAGGTTGTAGCTACCAGTGGGACTCTAAATAGCTAAACCCCTCTGCCCCAGGTGGCTAGGAGTCCCCAATCCAAGCCCCTTAACCCCTTAAGGACCAAACTTCTGGAGTAAAAGGGAATCATGACATGTCAGACATGTCATGTGTCCTTAAAGGACCACTATAGTGCCAGGAAAACATACTCGTTTTCCTGGTACTATAGTGCCCTGAGGGTGCCCCCACCCTCAGGGTCCCCCTCCCGCTGGGCTCTGGGGAGGGGAAGGGGTTAAACTTACCTCTTTCTCCAGCGTCGGGCAGGGAGCTCTCCTCCTCCTCTCCGCCTCTTCTCCTCCTCTTCGGCTGAATGCGCATGCGCGGCAGAAGCTTCGCGCGCATTCAGCCAGTCTCATAGAAAAGCATTTACAATTTACAATGCTTTCCTATGGACGCTTGCGTCTTCTCACTGTGATTTTTCACAGTGAGAATCGTGGAAGCGCCTTTAGCGGCTGTCAAGGAGACAGCCACTACAGGCTGGATTAACCCATTTATAAACATAGCAGTTTCTCTGAAAAAAAAAAAAAAGGGTTAACCCTAGCTGGACCAGGCACCCAGACCACTTCATTAAGCTGAAGTGGTCTGGGTGCCTATAGTGGTCCTTTTTAAGGGGTTAAAAATAATGAAAATATTAAAAAAAAATAATAATCCAAAAACATGACATAATAAAATTAATCCATCTTTGCCTCAAGAGGGCTCACCTCAGACTGAGCTCTCATAATGGGGAGATCACTTATACAGGCTTTCCCACATTATATCCGCTATTGCATCATGTGGAGAAATCTCCCACACTATGCAATGTGAGCAAGAGCGCTCTGATAGGTTGGTTAATAAGGTGGTTTGAGAGAAGTGATACCTGGGAATGCACAAGAATTGCCATTGTGCTCATAATTTGGTGATTTTTCACTGGTATTTGTGCACCTGGATAAAACTCAGTCTTTAGTGTATAACCTCGTCATTCAATTAAGTACAGTGAATTAGCGAGGAAGCCCCATGTTCTGTTCCGAGGATAAAAAGCTAAGCGTGCATTCATTAAACTGTTAGCAATTTAGTGTTGATTTCAAAATTAATTGATTATTTGGCTGGAAAATGAATAGTTAAATAAAAGTAATTTGTTTGTTTTTTTCCCCCTTAGCCCAGCAATGGATATCCCTTATCATACTGATGCAGAGAAGAAGAGGCTTCTGTCATTATACCAGTATCTACACAGCAAGGCACACTGCAGTTCCCACCCCCTCATTACCATTTACCACGTGGGATCCAAGGAGAACATTCTTGCCTGGGTAAGTCTTAGTAAACGGAATGTATTCTCGCACATAAGATAAAATATATATAATACTACAGCGCTGTGGAATATGTTGGTACTATATGATTACTATGGAAACTCCTTATAATGTCTGTGTCTTTTTTCTCTACTGGCAGGTTACAGAAGCATTCGAACTATATGTCTGTTTTAGCCCATTGGGGACAAAATCTTCAGCCGTGAGTGGAGTCACTCGTCTTCTTCGCTGGATTCGCAAGGAAGAAGAGCGACTTTTCATCCTTAATTCCCTCACCTACTAAAACCATAGCCAATGCGACTGTGAGCCATGTAAATATGCTACAGCAGGTGTTTTAACAAGTACCAGTATCCATTGCACCCTGAACATCCAATTCCAACATCGCATTATTTGGGTGAAGCAATATTTTCAGCTCATCTCGCCATATGGGAATTTTTTTGTTGTTCTATTAGAACTTTCAGGCCACCGCGTTATTTGGTATAATAGGGATTTGGATTTCATTTTAGAAACAACTGTACAGTTTCTTTTATATTGGAGTGTGTACTCTAATCTAAGAACAGAAAACGTTGGTTATAGGAAAGATAAAACAAAACACTAAGTGTATCTTAAACCTGCTTAATGTGCAATCATTATTTTATATTTCTAATATGCATTAAAAGAAATTCATATCAAACAAAATTAATTAAACAAAAAAAATCACGAAAACCTCACTTCTTCAAGAAGGCATGACAATTAACCTGTTTATACGTTCTCGCCCCCGCCACACTAATCCACTTGTTTCCTTTCCTGTAACTGCGTCATCTAAAAAATGAAGACTTCATTGTAAATTCTTCTAACTACCTACTTTTACCGTACATGAAATACATCTTACTACTCTTACCTCTTTGTCGACTGAATGTAATCTCGTTTAGGCAGGGCTTTCAACACTTGCTGTTCCCAAATGCCCCCTTGTCTTCTTGCTAATACTTACTTGTCAGTCCACAAATTTTACAGCAATGCAGCATATTTTGGCATTTTATAAGTAATAATGGGTCTTAGAGTGTCCCTTTTTGAAGTATCTCTGCTTATTTGCATGTATGAGGAGGTGATGACAGGGACTTATTAAGAAATTAACTTTGAGATTAAATGGGAGAGAGACATAGACATGAGCGATTTTTCGTTTGTGTAGACTAGTGGTGGCAAATCTCTGCTAAACAGTGTCTGCAAAAGCTGTGCTTTAAAGGACCACTATAGTGCCCTGAGGGTGCCCCCGCCCTCAGGGTCCCCCTCCCGCCCGGCTCTGGGAAGAGGAAAGGGTTAAAACTTACCTTTTTTCCAGCGCCGGGCGGGGAGCTCTCCGCCTCCAATCCTTCTCCTCTCCTCCCTTTCGGCTGAATGCGCACGTGCTGCAAGAGCTGCGCGCGCATTCAGCCGGTCTCATAGGAAAGCATTTGCAATGCTTTCCTATGGACGCTTGCGTGTTCTCACTGTGATTCAATGAGACAGCCACTAGAGGATTTGGAGGCTGGATTAACCCTATTATAAACATAGCAGTTTCTCTAGCTGGACCTGGTCTGGGTGCCTAGAGGGGTCCTTTAAGCCTTGCATCTAACCCCTTAAGGACCAAACTTCTGGAATAAAAGGGAATCATGACATGTCACACATGTCATGTGTCCTTAAGGGGTTAAACATGTCCAGCAGTTCTGACATTGTATACCTGAAAGAGAACATTCTGACTGGCCTATCAACCTTACTGGTGTGAGCAAAGTCCAAAGCTGATGTTTACATTCATTTTATGTTTTTTTGTTTTTGTTTTGTAAGTTATTTTTTATTTCAGATTTTTTTTCTCAAAAGGGAAAAAAGTTATACTATATAAATTAAGGCATTCATGTAAAACAATGGACAATGAAATAGGTTGAAAAACCTGAAACGGTGATGTAGGGAAGCAGCGCCTTCAGTAATGTCCTCAAATCTAATTGAGTATAGGGTAATATGAAATAGGAAGACAATAAAACGAAATCTAGTGCAGTATTTTCATTGCTGGTGATTTAAGATGAAAAGAAGGAAATACATTTACAATTTGCTGGAGCTTAAAATCAGATCCAGACAGAGGTGTAACTAGAAACCACGGGGCCCCAGTGTGAAAATTGCCCTGCCCCCACATTCATCTCCCCCCCCCTCTCCACAACCCCTCCATGTGTCACTTAAACCACCCCCATGTGTTATTAATTCACGGGTGAGTGTGGCATGGTTGGGGGGGGGATGAGTCTGACAGAATTGAAGGGGTTCATGTGATGGGATGAAAGGGGGCGAGTGTGCCAGAGTGATGGAGAATTAGTGTGTGTAGCAGTCCTTTGGCATCAATAAAGAAGGGAGAAGAGAGCTTCTGACGGGTGCAGGATTTTATTCTTTGCATAGAAGTGTGCAGGAATGCTCTGAACACCACCAACGTCAATATCTTTAGCAGTGTGAAAACTATAAATGACATGGAATACAAAATACATTTGCTTACAGAGTTTCACAGAAAGGAATATAAACAGAGTTATACAGTGGAGTTCAGTTACTTGCATACACATAGCGAAATTACATCAAATCACCTTAATGGAATACAACTCATAGGTACAGAGTTTTGGAACTGCAATGCTTCATATACAAACAGTGAATAAAATACAACATATCTTTAAGTTAAAGGCCTGAGCACAATTAATCCTTATATACTGTTACAGTGTTCCTCACTCCGCTCGTGTCACGTATTCATCCGCACATAAGAATGTGGTTAATGGCATTTACTGTCCTGACAGGAAAAGTTGTGCCAAGCAGCAATCATGCAAATGGAAACCTGGTGATTACTTTTGGGGTCAAAGGCCGGTCATGGCCAATCAAATCCACAGCCTATTGGATCCACAGGAGGGGTATTTAGGCCCAGTTCTTCTCTTGCTCAGTGCCCTATCGTGGTTTCATTCCAATGGTTATCCGAGAGTGCGTTCCTGATCTTGATTTTCTGGTATTTGACTTTGGCTTTGTTTTGACTTCCCCGATATCTGGTATCCTTGACTTCTGGCTTTCCCTCATCTTTGTGTCTGATTCTGTGTCCTTGACCTCAGCAAGTATTTTGACTATTCTTGGAGACGTTAAGTCCGGCCATTCTAAGGTCAGGTTATACGTTATCCTTAGTCCTAGGTAGACACAGTACTGCGTGCTGGATCAACTTGTAATCCTGACAGCTTGCCAACGGGTGCAATTTAAAACTTTAGAAAAATTAACATCGACTGCGTTCCCACAAGGTAATGCTAGCTTGCTTGGCATCTAAAACGCTGTGTCACAGAGAGCTTTTGCCACCAGAGGAAGGAGGGATTACTTGGCTGTACAAGTTCTGGGGCAACGACTCTGGTGACATCAGTGCGGAACAACAATTTAAATTTACTAGTGGACACTTACAGTGTGATATGGTGAATATGGCAGAGTGATGGGAGGAGAGTATGGCATGGGTGAGTGACAGGATTGTGGGAGTTATTGTGAGTGTGGAAGGATAAAAGGTAGACAATTAATTTTGTTCAAAATGCAAATTCTGACGAATTTCTGAAATTCTGACATTCGGATGCTTCCGAATGTCAGAAGTGCAGAATTTTGGAATGCTGAACCGAAGTGCTTTGGATTTTTTAAAAGTGGCAAAACAGGAGAGTGTTGGGGTAGGGTTAGGGGTTAGGTTAGTGGTTGGAGTAGGGTTAGGGTAGGGTAACCCTAACCGTACTCCTAACCCTACCATAACCCTAAACTTAACCCTACTCCTAACTCAACCCTACCCTACCTCTAACCATACTTCTAACCCTACTCCATTACAAAATAATAATAAAACAGCTTAAGCGGTCGCTTTTCCCCTGCTAGTAAGGGGTTAAACTTTACTTGTTATTGAGTCCAAACTACTCCTATTAGATTAGCAAATGCTTTAAATACACCCTTAGGAGAAGCAATCTCTATCTCACAGAAAGCAGTGTGACTATGTTATCGTACCTCTATATTTGATAAGGCAAGGAGTCAGACTAGGCTCACAGGTTCCAGAACTTAATTGATCTTAAATAAAACTGTGATCAACAGGGAGATTTCAACAACAGAATGTTGTCTCTCAGAGGGCAGTCATCTTGGCAGTATATATGGCTACACGATTACATTAATTAACAAAATGGATACACATCATTGAGTATACATTTTTATCATTTAAGCTAAACAGCCAAATTGCTAAACATAAATTACATCTTAATATTTGACATAATTACCATCAAGGATGCATAGATCAGATAATCTAATCAGTTTAACTACAAAACCCCCTATCCTGGTTACCTTTAGACACTCACTTACATGTTGCATCCCCCTATAAGCAGCACTATAGATAAAATGTATGGCAAAGTTCATCATCCTTGAGATCTCCTAGCAAAGGCTCTCCTTTCAGGTGCTCACTAGACACGTGCATTCTATGCTGTGAGTAGGGGCATGTCTACTAAACAGTGAGAAGCCAGTGGCTGCTCACTGTTAAAAAAAAAAAAAAAAGGCAAAGGGCCCCATGGTGGGGTATCTTCAAAAATAATGAAGAGGGGAGGACATAGTGGGGGCTATTCAATGGAACGGGAACCTAGGGTCCCCCCTGGCTCCCACCCATGATCGGTGGGTGGGGGCCCTAAATAACAAAAGGGTGCGGCATACTGCCTATAGTCTCCCCCCCCTCCTGGCCCCCATCCATGAGCGGCGGGTGGGGGCCCTCATTGACAAAGGGGGATGACCTATTGTCCCCCCCAGCACCCACCCGCTCATGGATGCGGGCCAGGGGGGGGAGAGACAATAGGTTCCTCCCCTCCTTTTGTTACTTAGGGCACACACCCACCACTCATGGGTGGGGGCCAGGGGAGGGGAGCCAATAGATGCCCCTCCTCTTGTTACTTTTGGCCCCCACCTGCCGCACATGGGTTGGGGCCAAAGGGGGAGAGACAATAGGTCCCTCCTCCTTTTGTTACTTAGGGCCCCCACCTGCTGCTTATGGATGGGGCCTGAGGGATGACAATATGTCCCCCCATTGATACCTAGGGCCCCACCCGCCACTCATGGGTGGGGGCCAAGGGGAGGCAATCCTTTTGTTACTTTTAGTCCCCACCCACCGCTCATGGTTGGGGGCTGTGGGGAGACAATAGGTCCCCCCCATTTGATAATTAGGGCCCCCACCCGCCGCTCATGGGTGGGGACCTGGGGGGGACATTAGGTCACCCCCATTATTTATTTAGGGTCCCCACCCGCCGGTCATGGGTGGGGACTTTAAGGGGGACTTTAGGTCCCCCCTTCATTTAATTAGGGTCCCCATCCGCCGCTCATGGGTGGGGACCTGGGGGGTCATTAGGTGTCCCCTCCCCTTTATTTAATTAGGGTCCCCACCCACCGCTCATGGGTGGGGACCCCTCTAATTAATTATGGCCCTTACCCGTTTATATTGATAGCCCCCACCCGCGTGTCAGATCCCCCACTTATTGCAATAGCGACTTGCTGCCCAGTCATTAGTAGTTTTAAATGACAGTGAGCAGCCACTGGTGACATGCCGCGAGTAGGGGCATGCGGGAGGATTTAACCTCCCTTTTATTAATATGGGTGCATAGTGTCCCTCATAGGTTTTAATGCGGGGGCTAGGAATTGTAATATTTTGATTACAAGCAGGGAGCTGGTAGCGCTGCTGGCTCCCTGCTTGCTTTTTTTTTTTTGCGCATGCGCAGTGTTATTTCCGTCCTAATTATTTTTTACCGAATTTTGGCCAAAAAACAAATGTTTTATGGATGAAATTTGGAATGGTCTAATGAAATTTTTATTTAGTACAAATTCATTCGTACGAAACGAAAATTTCACTGGTGCACATTTCTAGTGCTCACACATTCAATTCACAAGAATACATTCAAACTCTTACACGCCTTCTACATGCCCCTCTTCTCTCCATCCTTCTTTAGGGTTCTTCTTGCTTAGCATAAGACACTTTTATTTGTTGTTTTTTAATTCTTTATTTTTGTCACACTGCTTTTGTGTTGCACAGTACATAACATAATTGAAAAACAATGCGACAAAGACATTTCTCACAAGGGTGATACAACATAAGTGTAACAATATATACAGTATGAATTTTATAAAATAATTACATAATGAGAGACAGCAAAGGATAAGACAGTTTTAACTTCTTCCGACATATTCTTGCAGCTTGTACACAGTTCTTTCAGGAAGTCCTTATTACAGTTCAAAAATGTCATCCTTGAAAAACATATTTTTTTGTGTAGCATAAGCAATTTTGGAAAACCGCAAATAAACTTCTTGATAAGTTGTAGAATAATAAACTCAAGATGGACGATAGTTACACGTGCTCTTGGATCCAGCCAAATTATCACAGCTATATACTGAAAAGTTGAGAAATCTGAGAGGAGGTTTGGCAGGTTGTCAGAAGGACAAGACCTGGAGTGAGAGAAGCCTTTTCCTTTCAAACTATGTTTCTGTTTGTTTAGTAGAGCACCAGCCAGTTTTGTAAGTTTCCTAAACAGGAGGAGGTTTTTGTTATCACATATTTTTGGTTGTATTTAAAAGGCAAGTATGGTGTAAGTCAAGCATGTCAAACTCAAAGTCTAGCACGGGCCACATAAACAAGGTTTAAGTTTATGTGGGCCGCAAAAAAAAACACTTTATATTTTCATAGAAACATAGGTTTATTTTAAAAAGTACAGTATAAAAAAAAAAAAACAGCATCCCCCTCTACTAAACCACAGACACACACTCACTCACTAACAGACACACACTCAGACACACTCACTCACTAAAAGACACACACACACTAACAGACACACACACTCTCACTCACAGACACACACACACACTCACACTAACACACACACACAGACACTAACAGACACAACTAACATACACACACACCTTTTCTTTTAAAAATTCTACCCCCCCCAGCCTCCTTACCTTTGGGAATGCTGGGGTGGGGGGGAGTTCTCAATTTCCCTGGGTGTCCAGGATCAATATGTTACATGGAATTATACCAATAATATATAGGAAATGCAATTAAAACATAAACAGCAATTAAGGAAAAATTAATCAGGAAAATGAACTCACCCCAGGTGACTTGTGTGACCGGTGGCGTCTTGCCGACCTTTGCGCGCATGTGTAATGAAAAACCGTCCAATACACCTCTGGAGATGGTTTTTCATTACACATGCGCACAGAGGTCGTCAAGACGCCGCCAGTCACACAAGTCACCTGGGGTGAGTTCATTTTCCTGATTATTATTTCCTTAATTGTTGTTTATGTTTTAATTGCATTTCCTATATATTATTGGTATAATTCCATGTAACATATTGATCCTGATGAAAGTCCTGAGAGAGGACTGAAACGTTGATCCTAGACCTTATGTTTTAATTCTCATTGAATAAAGAAGATTTTTAACCGAAGACCGTGAGTGCTACCATTACTACTTTTCACTGGATATTCAAAGTCCCAGGTTAAAGCACCCGGCAAGTATACTTTACCATTATAGCCTGAGTGCAAGGATGTTTCATTATTTTGTGTATATATATATATATATATATATATATAAAAATTTAAACGAACCCTTTAAAGTAATATCCTTTACTGTAATATCTGCAACTTACTACCACAAATTGATGCACTGCAAGCATGGTGTTCACATTACAAGCCCAAAATCATTGTGCTCTCTGAATCTTGGCTAACCGCAAAAATACCTGACTCTGCCATTGCAATACATGGGTATTCATGCCATAGAAATGACAGGGCAAAAAGAGGAGGCGGCATTGTAATTTATGTTGACAATTCCACAAAGTTAACCCCCTTATAAAACCTTAGCTCTCCTGCCACCTTTGATTTCCTTTTTGGCACAATTGAGATCCCATGCAGTAAATCAATCATTGTTGCAGGAATCTACCGCCCACCTAGCTCCCCTGTGCATTCCCTATCTGACATACTCATCTCCTTAGTGAAACCATAGCTCAAAACCCAAAAAGTGAACTGTTGGTATTTGGAGATTTTAATATTGATTGTCTGAATCCTAAAAATAATAGTACTTGCTCACTGTTTAAGACTTTGCAGCTAATACAATTAATCTCCTCCCCAACTCGCATACACATTAAAAGCCATAACCATACCCTTGCTCGATTGGATTCTCTCCACTTCTCCTGATAGCATCCAGGAGGCAGGTGTTCTCCCTAACAGTTTCAATGATCACTGCTTAGTGTACTGCATGCGCAAAATAAAGGCTACTAAATCCTCTCCCAAGGTTAAAATCACCAGGTCCTTCAAAACATGTAATCTTGAATCCTTTCTAAATTACATCAATAATCTCCCATGGCACAGATTAAACCTTATCCCAGATCTAGACTGTGCAGTTGAATTCTTTCAATCTGAACTCCTACAAGTTTGGATTTGCATGCCCCACTGCATAAGGTGAGAGTAAAAGGGGCACATATGAACTGGATCACAGCTGACCTCATCCAAATGTACCAGTTTCGGGATTCATTGTGGTCAAAGTTCTAGCATACTGGCTCTATGAATGATCACTGTGCATATAGACAACGGCAAAATATATACACAAAACAGACAAAATTGGCCAGGGCCCAATATTTCTGTGAAAATCTGAACAATAACATATCAAACCCCTAGAAACTTTTGGAAAGTCATAAACTACAAACTCCCCCAATCCACTCCCAACTCTCCACTGTCAAAGTGGATAACCAAACCCTGCAACTTCCCTTAGATGTAGAAATTGCCTTTAACAATTATTTTGTCAGATGCTCCAACACCCTGATTGCCAAGCTAATAAATTACACATCCTGAAACTACAAATGTGGATCAGGCCCCACTAAATTTGCAAAGACCCAATATAGAGAAGTTATAATTTAGACCTGTACCTATTAGTGTCATTAAGAAACACCTTAATAATCTAAAAATGAAAAACCAGTCTGGACCCGATCAAATCCCAGCAATGCTGTTGAAGTTCAGTGCGCCGGCAATTGCTAAACCTGTCGCAACTCTAATGAACAAATCCTTGGTGTCTGGATACATACCCAAACTTTGGAATACTGCAAGAGTAGTGCCTGTCCATAAAAGTGGTGGCACTACTTTGGTTTCTAACTATCGCCCAATATCATTGCTCCCAGTATTGTCAAAAATCTTAGAAAAATGTGTCTATACGAACTATGTGAGTATTACCAACAATCAAACTATCTCACTCCTGATCAATCAGCTTTTCACCAGAATCACTCCACTACAACTGCCCTCCTAAAAGTTTGCAATGACATCCAAACTGGCATGGAACAAGGAGACCTAACTGGAGCTATTTTTCTTGATTTTGCAAAGGCCTTCAACACAATAGACCATGACATTCTACTGCACAAACTAAAAAACTCAGGTATTGGTGATCGTCTGCTAAGCTGGTTTCGATCGTATGTATCGATCGCTCGCAATATGTGTCCATTTCTGACAGTTACTTACTCCCTCTACCATTCACGTGTGGTGTTCCCCAAGGTTCTATTCTCAGCCCCCTACTATTTACATTATTTATAAATGATCTGCCTAATGTCTGCAAATCCTCAAATGTACACATGCACGCAGACGACACAGTAATCTATGCGAGCAAATGCAATCTACTGCAGCTTGAGGCTGTGCTCCAAGACCAGTTCACAGAGGTAGAAAAGTGGATCGCAAAAAACAAACTCTTCCTAAACACTGACAAAACTGTCACAATGCTCTTTAAAACAGTACATAAATTACACAAATTACACAACTCCCATCTATGCATCAAAACAAATTTAAATAGCACACGGACCGCAGTCCACTCTTTCAAATACTTGGGTATGTTGTTAGACCCCAATCTATATTTTGGCCTCCACATAGAAAAACTTGCATCTAAACTTTATCTAAAACTAGGTGCCCTGTACAGAAACAAATCCTGCCTAAGCCCTTCAGTAAAGGAAAAGATTGTACAGCAAATGCTGATGCCAATCATTGGTTATGGGGATGTAGTATATGCACCTGCACCGAAAACCCACCTTAATAAACTCAATACATTGTATAACTCGTTCTGCCGATTTGTGCTACAATGTAATTACAGGACCCACCATTGTGACATGCTGTCAGGATCCTGTCCTGACAAGCAAGACTTTTGTTCTGTATATCCTGTTGCTTTAAGAAAAAACAAGTTTCTACATTGATTTTGTTTTACCACTAGTGGCCTCCCTTGCCTCTAGTGTGAACACTCACCTTATTATTCTCACCTGCCTGAACTGATTGGGTTCCTACAAAAGGTAACGCCCAACTCACCACTTTGCCTTGACATTGAAGTTGATGACTGTCTGAAAGATGTCATATCCTGGCTCCTGAGTTAACCTGTGGACTTTCCTTTGGCTTCATAACCTGCTATACTCACCAACCTGCTCCAAACTTACCTGTACAACTCTTCATTCCTGCCTTATCTACAAACCTACAGCATACCAACCTGGACATCCTATATTCCTGCTGGACATCCAACTTGCTTAAATCAATACAGGACTTTAATTTACTTTGTGGCTATCTATTTACTCCTACATCGGATTTACTGATATTCCAAACTATATTTGCATCTATCAAACAGGACCTGCTACTACAATACAACCTCTTATCCAAAGAGACTGAACAACTACAACCCTATTTAAGTATTCATTATATTTCTGTTTAGTTGTTTCTTTATATGATGTTCTGGGGCATATTTCCTGAATCCTGTTTCCTATTATCCCTCTATATTGTACCTATAATCTCTCTTATAGGTTTATCTTTAATTATCCTACCTATAACTTCTTTTATAGGTTTACCTTATTTCCACTTTGGGCTTGTAGTCTAAATCCTTTATTTCATAGGCTACTTACTTCCCTGTAATTTCAGACATTCTGTTCTGTTCACTATCTTTCTTTCATATAACTACAATTTTATAGGATATCCTGTTCTTACTAGAATGTCTAAGATAACAAATAAAGACCCTGAATTTAACCCCAGTTTCAGTCTCATCCGGACCTGCACAAGATCATGACACATGCTAAAAGAACTAAACTGGCTGTCCGTGGAATCCAGAAGCATCCTTCATCCTACCAGCCTTGTGTTTAAGAAGCTCCCATCCTACCTGCTCTCCCCGGCTGTTCCCACCTCCTTATAACCTCCGATCCAGTACCAGCACTTTATTTAGTCTACCTCAATACAAAAAGAAAGCATCTCAATCCTCCTTTTCCTACAGAGCACCGCAATTATGGAAGGACCTCCCGCACACTTTCAAATCTTCCCCAGGCCTAAAATCCTTTAAGAGATCCATCTCTACATACCTCAAAACAGAATGCACGTGTTATGGTTGATTATATATTTCCTACCTGTTCTATGTTAAATTTTGTATATATTGTGTACTAATTTTTTTTTATTTTATTGTACCCTGTTGAAAACAAGAGAAATTTCAATGTATCCTTCCTGGTAAAATATTTTTTTAATAAATAAAATAAAGGGACACTTCAGACCCCTAAAGCACTTCAACTTGCCAGAATAATAAAAAAAAAAAAGATCCATCTGCCATCTGCTGGTTATGTGTGATAATGCATTGCTCACAAAAGAATGTATGGAATTCAGTGGTTAAAAATAGAAAATGAAAATCTCAGTATTGAACAGTGTGTTCACTCTGCTAGTTTAATTGATAAACTCACAGTTATAATCACACTGTAATTTTGTAAAAAAATAAAATAAAATAAACAATTACCCTGGGAACTCTGGCAACCCAAATCCGAGCGAACACTAGCGTCAACGGTGTGAAAATAGGTGAGATCAAACACAAACTCAGTCTCTTCGCAGACAACGTCCTCTTGACCGTTACCGAACCCGAGACCTCACTCCCAGCCCTCACGGACATACTAGACACATACAGCAAATCTTCATATTACAAATTCAACACGACAAAAACATAAGCACTTCCACTCAACATACACCACACCACAGTACACACACCCAAACAACATTATGACTTTGACTGGAGATCTAAATACCTAACATACCTGGGAATAAAAATCACAAAACACCCTCATTACCTCTTCAAAACCAACTGTACTAAAACAGCCAATGACATTAGAACACAATTAGAAAAATGGAGTGGTAAATTCCTGTCCTGGATGGGCCGCATACCGGCATTTAAAATGATCTTGCTCTCGTAACTCCAATTCCTCTTCAGGTCCCTGCCGATAGATGTCCCCATGTCCTTCTTCACCAACATACGTCATGTCAATCACTTCATCAATGGACACCGTAAAGCCCAGATCCCTAAAACCACAACGTATAGAAAACTCCTAGACAGGGGAACAGGAATCCCAGACATCCAAGCATACTACAGAGCCACAATACTCACACATGACGGGAGCTGCAACCCTCCCTGGGTGGCAATAGAGTCCCATTGGTCGTTAACAGAGGGAATTCATCATCTCCTATGGTTAACCAAACTCCTCCGCCCAAAACAAAATAACCTGCTGCCTATGTCAGCGGTTATGTTAAAAGTGTGGGATAATCGCTCCATCTGCAGTAATTTAAAATCAACAACCATACACGACTTTTTCATCTCAAACTCACTCACACTGCTTGCACTTACAGAGACCTGGCTGTCCCCCTCTGATAGCGCTACTCCTGCCTCTTTTGGTGGGCTACAATTCTCTCACACTCCCAGACTCAACTGTAAAGGAGGCGGCGTAGGCATCCTTCTCTCCCCTCAATGTACCTTTCAACCAATCATAACTCCCCTGCCCTATCCTTTCCTTCTTTTGAAGTTCACACTGTCCGCCCATATAAACCCACTCCTTTAAGAATTGCTACCTCCAAAAATGCTCCAGAACTGCTGAACGCTGTTGGATAAAGTCTCACTGTGCATCTGACTTTCTCCACTATAAATTTATGCTGAGCTCATACAGCTTGGCTTTTTCCTCTGCAAAAGTTAATTACTTCAATACCCTCATAACTACACTCTCCCGCGAACCCAAACGACTATTTCACACATTTAACTCTCTTCTTCGCCCTGCTGTTCCTCCTCCACCTACTAACTTGACCGCCTCAGACTTTGCAACTCACTTCACTGACAAGATCTCTACAATCAGAGAAGAGATCTCTCATCTTTCTTCTTCCCCTTACAATACTTCCCCTAACTTCACTCCCTCTGCAGTTCTATGTTCATTTGCACCCACTACATTGGAAGAGGTTTCTGCTCTGCTCCAGTCCTCCCGCCCCACCACCTGCTCCCTAGATCCAATTCCCTTGCATCTCATCCGTACTCTGTCTTCTTCTCTTTCTTCACCTCTCACTAAAATTCTCACTCTCTCTCTCTCCTCTGGTATATTTCCATTGCCCTTCAAACATGCAACTGTAACCCCAATTCCAAAGAAGCCCAATCTTGACCTTAACTCCCCATCCAACTATCGTCCTATCTCGCTACTGCCTTTGCATCCAAGATCCTTGAATAAATTGTGTATGCAAGATTGATAGACTTCCTCGAGTCCAACTCTCTGCTAGACCCGCTTCAGTCTGGTTTCCGCTGAAAAATCTTGTGGTCACTACTCTATCCTAATTCTCCTTGACCTGTCTGCGGCTTTTGACACTGTTGATCATCAACAGCTTCTTCTCATCCTCCGCAATATCGGTTTACAAGATATTGCTCTCTCCTGGTGCTCCTCCTACCTCTCCCAGCGCTCTTTCAGTGTTTCTTTCTCTCTGCTTCTTCTCCCCAACTCCTCTATGTTGGTGTCCCCCAAGGTTCAGTCTCTGGTCCCCTACTGTTCTCCATCTATACTGTCTCCCTTGGTAAACTCATTAGCTCCTTTGGCTTCCAATATCATTTCTATGCAGATGACACGCAAATCTACCTGTCCTCTCCTGATCTCTCCCTGTCCCTCTTGACTAGTGTCTCTGACTGCCTCTCTGCTGTTTCTAACTGGATGTTTGCCCAATTCCTTAAACTAAACTTGACCAAAACTGAAATTCTGGTCTTTCCTCCCTCAAGTGTTGTTACTCCTGTGTCTGTCTCCCTCCAAGTCAACGGTGCTACCATCAACTCCACCAAGCAGGCTCGCTGCCTAAGTGTTCTCTTTGACTCCGACCTCTCCTTCAAGCCTCATGTTCAATCTATCGCCAAATCCTGTCATTTCCATCTTAAAAACATTGCGCGCATCTGCCCCTACTTAACGCCAGATGCGACTAAGGTGTTGGTCCATTCCACTGTCCTTTCTCGCCTTGACTACTGTAATCCGCTTCTCAGTGGTCTTACGTGCTCCCAACTTGCGCCGTTACAGTCCATAATGAATGCTTCGCGAGGCTCATCTTCCTGTCCGCCCGCACCTCCCATGCCTCACCGTTCTGTCAGTCCCTACATTGGCTTCCTATAAAATATGCAGCTCAATTTAAAATTTTGGTTCTTGCTTTCAAATCTCTACATAATGCTGCTCCCACCTATCTATCCCCCCTTATACACAAGTATGTCCCATCTAGGCCCTTACGATCTGCTGAAGACTTACGTCTATCTTCTGTCCGTAGTCCCACCTCTGATGTTCGCCTTCAAGATTTCTCGAGGGCTGCACTGTTCCTGTGGAACTCGCTTCCCTCCTCCGTTAGATGCTCACCCAGTCTCCACTCCTTCAAAAAATCATTAAAAATCCACTTCTTCATAAAAGCGTATCAATTAAACTGTTAATAGCTCCTGACTGATTCCTCTTCTGCAACTGTCACTAGTCTAATACTATCCTTACCTTTTTGTGTCATTTTACCCCACTCCCTCTAGCATGTAAGCTCATTGAGCAGGGCCCTCAACCCCTCTGTTCCTGTGTGTCCAACTTGTCTGGTTAAAACTACATGTCTGTTCGTCCACCCATTGTAAAGCGCTGCGGAATTTGACAGCGCTCTATAAATATCATAATAATAATAATAATCATAAGCAAAAAAACAAATTCTGATTTTAGTTTATCTCCATCTATGCCTGGTTTCCAGTACCACGCTTCCATCTAAGCTGTATATGTCCATATACAAAATTACATAAATAATTTCATAAATATACACGTAGACTTCAAATATATAAAAATGTATATATATTTAAATTCTACGTGCATATTTATGTAATTTTATTGATTGCAATTTGAGGGACCTGCCTGACAACCCAGGCTGAAAGTCCAGAGAATTGAATTTGCTAACATGGTGTTTAACCCTGTAACTTTCTATGAAACCCTAAAACCTGTACATGGGGGGTACTGTTTCTTCGCTGAACACAAATATTAGTGTTTCAAAATAGTAAAACATATCACAGCGATGATATTGTCAGTTAAAGTTACTTTTTTTTGCATTTTCACACGCAAACGACACTTTTACTGATGATATTGTTGTGATACATTTTATTGTTTTGAAACACTAGTATTTGTGTTCAGCAAAGTCTCCTGAGTATAAACAGTACCCCCTATGTAGAGGTTTTATAGTGTTTTTGAAAGTTACAGGGTCAGATATAAGACTTGGTTATCCTTTTCTTTCTACATTGAAATTTGCCATATTGGTTATGTTGCCTTTGAGAGCGTATGGTAGCCCAGGAATGAGAATTACCCTCATGATGGCATGGAGGGCCGCCACCAGAAATTTTGGGGCCCCTAACTCAGCTCAGGGTCTGGGCCCCCTGGGGCCCGCCTTCAATCCTGCCCACAGGGTCCGCCTCCAAATCCCACCCACAGGAATACACACACAGACACAAAAACACACACTGATACAAAAGGATACATATACACACACAGATAGATACTAACAGACACACATACTGAAACAGACATACACGCATATAGGCATACATACTGACACACACATACTGAGACATACACATATATACAGACACACAGGCATACATAGTGACAGACACATACTAACATACATACAGACACACATGCATGAGGACATACACATACATACACCGACATACATACACAAAGACATCCATTCATTCATACAGACATACATTCATACAGACAGACATACAGACGCTGACATCCATACACATATACATACATACATTCATACATACTGACATCCATTCACACAGACATACGTTCATAATGACATACAGACATACATTCATACTGACATACATGCATACATACATTCATATATACATACATACATAATGACAGGGGTCCTCAAACTTTTTAAACTGGGAGCCTGTTCACGTTCCCTCAGACACTGTTGGGGGCCGGACAATAAACAATATGAATGAATTCCTATGCACACTGCACACACACGCATAAGGACATAAATACACACACACACACAAACAGACAGACACAAACATATACATACATATTGAAATACACACAGACAGACATGCATACATACACATACTGACTTACACACACAGACATACATACTTACATACATACTGACACATACAAACATACATACTGACACACACATATACATATTAACATACATACATACTGACACACATTACATACACACACATACATAAATATTAACATACATACATACATACTGACATACATATTAACATACATACAGACATACATACGTATTAACATACATACATACACACATACAGCTAATTTTGCTTACCTTTTTTGCAGGTGGAAGGCTGTGGCTGATGGGAGTCAGCGTGGGTCCCGTGGCCTGGCTTTCTTCCCTCCCGCGCGGCACAGAGGGGAGGGAGCAGGGAGGAAGTGACGGCCACTTCCTAACTTGCTAACTTTGGCCAGTGTTTGTGACTAAGTGGCTACTAAAAAAGACTGGACATCATCAATATTGAATACCCTGGGTTGTCTACTTTAAAAAAATATGTAAATGTGAGGCGTGATTCTGAGATTTATGACAGATAACAGTGTTACAATGTCACTGTTGATAAATTTAATATATATATATATTGAAACAGCAATTTCCTATTTGTATTTATAGCTCTCTAACTTGCAAATAAAAATGGAAAAAAGCATTGTATTTAAACTCAGGACAAAATATTTAATCTATTTAGCAGGTTTTTTTCATTAGCTGTTGTAGATAAGTAAAATATTTTTCAAGTAAAAGTCCAAAAACGTTTTTTTTTTTCAATTTTTCACCATATTTTTTTTTTAATGTAAAATATATGACATGATACAAATAATGGTATATAAAGAAAGCCCTTCTGAAAAAAAACAATATATAATTTGTATGGGAACTGTAAATGAGAGAGAGAAAAATTACAGCTAAACACAAACACCACAAATGTGTTAAAACAGCTCTGATCCTTAACGTACAACATGGCCAAAACAGTCCGATCCTTAAGGGGTTAAATTATTGGTTTCAGCTGCTAATCATTTGTTCTCTTTGCTCTTTCCCTGGGTATATCCCTCTCATGTCACCAAAGACCCCCACTGAGATGCAGGCTTGTAAGGTCTTCTCACAGCTGGAGTAATCAGAGGTTAGCCACACCGATAGAGCCCATTGTGCTTGTGTAAGGATTGAGACAAAACTGCTCACTCAGGAATGCTCAGGAATAGTGTGAGGTAGCTGTGTAGCATACCTCAGGGCCTCTGTAGGGAACCTGCTTTATGAATGGTTAACCATTACCTGGGTCCACCCATTTATAGCCATTATAAATATAAAGTGGACTTGACAAGTGAGCTCCAGATTTGGATATCTATCTGTTAGCCTGCATTCATCCGTCCAATCACAGGGGGTATCTGGTGCAGCACTCTCTAGTAGTTTTATATCTGAAAAGAAATGGTCGAAATGACTGCAAGTTTTATTAGTTTACTCAATGGTTTATTGGGGGGGATTCATAGCCAGTCATCCGTACAGTTCAGTGCAGGCTCTCTCAGACTTCTTCTTGTGTCCCCTCATCTAAGCTATAATGATTGTGTGTGGATGACTGTGGGATGTGTGTGATGACTGTGTGTAATTGTGCAGGGGTTGGTTGAGTGTGGTTGTGTGTAATAGTTTTATGTAAATGTATAACATTTATAACATTTTTTAAAAATGTTTTCTCTCCTCTTGCTTACCTTTTCCTACAGGAATGAGCATAAAGTCTGAGCCTCCAGTGGGTGCAGACCACAGAAAACACACTTCTGGGTCTGGGATTCAGGCATGTTGGTATACAGCAGGGTTTCTCAATTAGTGTTCCGCGGAACCCTAGGCCTCCGTGAGAACAAAATTGGGGTCCCGCAGCGATTTGCCCATCGGGTGGCCTAAGCATTTAGGGCCACCAGATGTCTAAGACCGCGACTGCACCCTTATTGTATACTGGAAGGATGCTGGGATGTGACAGCATTTCCTCCCAGACAGAGCGCGCCAGCTGGAGGGAGAGGGAGCACAGTGGGGAGTGAGCAGCTGCTGACCTGGCACACCATCCTCAGCCAGCAGACTGCAGCACTAAAGGAAGAAAAAAAGTTAACAGCAAATATAAACATATGTGTAGGTGTCTGTACCTGTGTCACTGTGTATATCTGCCAATATGTGTGAATCTGTGTATGTGCCAGTTTGTGTATCTGTGTATCAATGTGTGTATATGTGTCACCATGTGTGTATATATGTGTGTCAGTGTCTCTGTCAATGTGTGTATGTGCCAGTGAGTGTGTATGTGTGTGCCAGTGTGTGTATCTGCCAGTGTGTGTGTGTGTGTGTGTGTGTGCCAATGTGTGTCAAAGTGTGTGTATCTGTCAGTAAGTGTTTGTGTGCCACTATGTGCCAGTGTGTGTGTGTATCTGTGTGTCAATGTGTGTGTATCTGTGTGTCAAGGTATGTGTATCTGTGTGTCAGTGTGTGTATCTGTGTGCCACTATGTGCCAGTGTGTGTGTATCTGTGTGTCAATGTGTGTGTATCTGTGTGTCAAGGTATGTGTATCTGTGTGCCACTATGTGCCAGTGTGTGTGTATCTGTGTGTCAATGTGTGTGTATCTGTGTGTCAAGATATGTGTATCTGTGTGTCACTATGTGCCAGTGTGTGTGTGTGTGTGTGTGTGTGTCTGTGTTTCAGATACATACGCACACACACAGATACACACTGACACACAGATACACACACTGGCACATACAAACACAGATACACAAACCTTGACACACACTGGCACATACAAACACAGATACACACACCTTGATACACAGATACATACAGGGAGTGCAGAATTATTAGGCAAATGAGTATTTTGACCACATCATCCTCTTTATGCATGTTGTCTTACTCCTAGCTGTATAGGCTCGAAAGCCTACTACCAATTAAGCATATTAGGTGATGTGCATCTCTGTAATGAGAAGGGGTGTGGTCTAATGACATCAACACCCTATATCAGGTGTGCATAATTATTGGGCAACTTCCTTTCCTTTGGCAAAATGGGTCAAAAGAAGGACTTGACAGGCTCAGAAAAGTCAAAAATAGTGAGATATCTTGCAGAGGAATGCAGCACTCTTAAAATTGCAAAGCTTCTGAAGCGTGATCATCGAACAATCAAGCGTTTCATTCAAAATAGTCAACAGGGTCGCAAGAAGCGTGTGGAAAAACCAAGGCGCAAAATAACTGCCCATGAACTGAGAAAAGTCAAGCGTGCAGCTGCCGCGATGCCACTTGCCACCAGTTTGGCCATATTTCAGAGCTGCAACATCACTGGAGTGCCCAAAAAGCACAAGGTGTGCAATACTCAGAGACATGGCCAAGGTAAGAAAGGCTGAAAGACGACCACCACTGAACAAGACACACAAGCTGAAACGTCAAGACTGGGCCAAGAAATATCTCAAGACTGATTTTTCTAAGGTTTTATGGACTGATGAAATGAGAGTGAGTCTTGATAGGCCAGATGGATGGGCCCGTGGCTGGATTGGTAAAGGGCAGAGAGCTCCAGTCCGACTCAGACGCCAGCAAGGTGGAGGTGGAGTACTGGTTTGGGCTGGTATCATCAAAGATGAGCTTGTGGGGCCTTTTCGGGTTGAGGATGGAGTCAAGCTCAACTCCCAGTCCTACTGCCAGTTCCTGGAAGACACCTTCTTCAAGCAGTGGTACAGGAAGAAGTCTGCATCCTTCAAGAAAAACATGATTTTCATGCAGGACAATGCTCCATCACACGCGTCCAAGTACTCCACAGCGTGGCTGGCAAGAAAGGGTATAAAAGAAGAAAATCTAATGACATGGCCTCCTTGTTCACCTGATCTGAACCCCATTGAGAACCTGTGGTCCATCATCAAATGTGAGATTTACAAGGAGGGAAAAACAGTACACCTCTCTGAACAGTGTCTGGGAGGCTGTGGTTGCTGCTGCACGCAATGTTGATGGTGAACAGATCAAAACACTGACAGAATCCATGGATGGCAGGCTTTTGAGTGTCCTTGCAAAGAAAGGTGGCTATATTGGTCACTGATTTGTTTTTGTTTTGTTTTTGAATGTCAGAAATGTATATTTGTGAATGTTGAGATGTTATATTGGTTTCACTGGTAATAATAAATAATTGAAATGGGTATATATTTGTTTTTTGTTAAGTTGCCTAATAATTACGCACAGTAATAGTCACCTGCACACAAAGATATCCCCCTAACATAGCTATAACTAAAAACAAACTAAAAACTACTTCCAAAAATATTCAGCTTTGATATTAATAAGTTTTTTGGGTTCATTGAGAACATGGTTGTTGTTCAATAATAAAATTAATCCTCAAAAATACAACTTGCCTAATAATTCTGCACTCCCTGTACAGGCATACACACACAGATACACATTGTATGTCAAGGTGTGTATATCTGTGTGCCAATGTGTGTGTGTCTGTGTGTATCTGTGTGCCACTATGTGCCAGTGTGTGTGTGTGTGTGTATCTGTGTTTAAGATACATACACACACACACACACACAGATACTGTCACGGGTGACGGTACAGAGAATGGGACCCCTGTGTACCTGATGATGATCGGAGTCAACCTCATGGAAGTGAAACAATCAGGGCCTGGTGCAGGGTAATCACCCGCCCCCTGGTGTTGAGCACCAGGGTTTGTGCGGCCACATACCAGGGCCCTGATGCAGCTTCTGCGGATCCCAGGAACAAGGAGAAAATATGCAGACCTCCCAGGATCTGGATAGGGAGGCTCTGCAGCAGATATGTATCCAGTACTAGAAACAAGGCAAGACTAGAACAGGCACCAAACAAGATAAGACAAGACAAAACTAGTAGAACCCAGAACCAGAGAAGGATAGAAAGCAGAACCCAGAACATGTACACAAGATATGAGGGAAACATGAACAGGGCAGGACAGGACTGTACATGAAGTGGGAAAACAAAATAAAACAAGACAAGATATGCAAGGCAAAACAAGAGGAGACAAAACTAAGTACTATATAAGTAAAACATAGGAGATTTAGACATACATAAATGGCCAAGATGTATGCAGCCCACCATTGGGCCAAAGTGCTCCAATTAACGGTGGGTCCTATCTTCCTAGATATGCATGACTAAATAAACAATAATAAAATACACACAGCACTTACCTGCAAGAAAGGGGCAGGGGACTTGGAACAACCAACTGAAACAAAAGGGATTAATGGAAAAAGGGTGTAGCAAAAAAAAACAAAAAACATTTAAAGGAATCCAAGAGACTGGGAATTCCAGGAACGGAATACAGGAATGAACCCAGAAAACCCAGCATAAAGAAAACCAGACATGGAATAGAGAATCAGAAAAACTGAACAAGAATTGTAAAAAGAGCACTGGGTACCAGAAGCCATAGCCAGAAATGATCCGCAGCAGGAACAGGATGTGACAGATACACACACTGGCACATACAAACACAGATACACACACCTACCTTGACACACACACACACACAGTGTGTCAAGGTTACATAGTTACATAGCTGAAAAGAGACTTGCGTCCATTAGGTTCAGTCTTCCTCACATGTTTTTTGCTGTTGATCCAAAAGAAGGAAAAAGAAAACAGTTTGAAGCACTTCCAATTGTGTAACAAACTAGTAAAAAAAATTCCTTCTTGACCCCAGAATGGCAGTTAGATTTATCCTTGGATCAAGCAGCTATTACCCTACATTGAAAAATTATATCCTTGAATATTCTGTTTTTGCAAGTATGCATCTACAGTAGTTGCTGTTTGAACATCTGTATGGACTCTGATAAAACCACTTCTTCAGAAAGAGAATTCCACATTCTTATTGTTCTTACAGTAAAAAAACCTTTTCTTTGCCGAAGACAAAATCTTCTTTCTTCCAGTCTAAGCGCATGACCTTGTGTCCTGTGTAAAGTCCGGTTTGTGAATAGATTTCCACATAATGGTTTGTATTGGCCCTGAATATATTTGTATAATGTTATCATATCCCCTCTCAGGCAATGTTTTTCTAAACTAAATAGGTTTAAATTTGTTAACCTTTCCTTTATAGCTAATATGTTCCATTCCTTTTATTAATTTTGTAGCCCGCCTCTGCACTTTTTCTAGTGCCTGAATATCCTTCTTTAGAACAGGTGCCCAAAATTGCACAGCATATTCAATATATGGTCTTACCAGTGATTTATTAAAGAGGCAAAATGATATTCTCATCCCGAGAATGAATGCCTTTTTTCATGCATGACAATACCTTACTGACCTTAGCCACTGCTGACTGACATTGCACATTGTTGCATAGTTTGTTGTCTATAACAATTCCCAAGTCCTTTTCGTGTGTTGTTATCCCTAATTTGTTTCCATTAAGGGTATACGTTGCTTGTGCATTCTTTATGCCAAAGTGCATAACTTTGCATTTTTCAACATTAAATTTCATCTGACATTTAAGTGCCCGGTCCCCCAGTCTATCTAAATCCCTCTGCAGCAAGGTAATAGCTTGCTCACATTGTATTACTTTACAGTGTTTTGTGTCATCTCCAAACACTGAAACATGACTTTCGATGCTTTTTTAAAGATCATTTATAAATATGTTGAATAGAAGGGGTCCCAGAACAGAACCCTGAGGGACACCACTTGCCACCTCTGTCCAGCTTGAAAATTTACCATTAATGACAACTCTTTGTACTCTATTTTTAAGCCAATGTTCTACCCAAGAACAAGCATTTTCATCTAGATCGATTTCTTTGAGTATGAACAATAATCTATTGTGTAGAACTGTATCAAATGCCTTGGCAAAATCCAAATAGATCACATCCACTGCAACACCCTGATCTATACTTGTACTTACTTCTTCGTAGAATGCAATCAAGTTAGTTTGACATGACCTGTGCTTCATAGAACCATGCTGATTTTTACTGATAACCATGTTCTTCTCAAGGAATTCTTGAATATTATCCCTTAATAACCTTTCAAATACTTTTCCAGTCACAGAAGTTAAGCTCACAGGTCTATAATTTCCAGGCAAGGATTTTGAACCCTTTTTGAATATAGGAACCAAATCCGCCTTCCTCCAAAACACTTCCTGAAAGAAAAGAATCTTGAAAGATTAAAAACAGAGGTTCACTTATTTCTACACTTAGTTCCTTAAGTACTTGTGGATGAATACCGTCAGGCCCTGGAGCTTTGTTTATATTAACTTTCTTTAGTTGCTGCAGCACCTTGTCTTGAGTTAACCAATTACAATTATTCTGCAAGTTTTTAGCAGCAATCATTTGCACATCTAATGCCATGGGTTCTTCCTTAATATATACGGAGGAGAAATAGTTATTTAAAATTCCTGGTCTTCATTAACTAACACCCCTATTCCAGGTGTGAGTGTACCTACACTTTCATTTTTTGGTTTTTTAAAATGTATGTACTTAAAGAATGCTTTGGGGTTGGTTTTGCTCTCTTTGGCTATGATTTTTTCATTTTGAAGTTTAGCAAATCTTTCTAGTTGGTGCTTGTACAAGTGGTGACATGAAGGTGTCATTTAACAAGTTCAAAAACCTAATTCCCTTTGCTGAGCTACTAGTTACTTGTTTTTTTTGTTTTTTTGGGTTTGTTTAACAGTGATTTAGTGTTTAGTAAACATGCCCCTCCTCGCGGTATAGCAAGTAGGGGCATTCGGGAGATTTTAATCTCCCTTATGCTATTATGGGGTCATATTGACCTGGGGGGCTTTTAAAGTGGCAGGGAGCACTTCTCCCTGACGCTTCCATCTTTACATTTTACAAGGAGGGAGCTGTGCGCTGGTAGTTCCCTCCTTGTAAAAAACTGAACAAACAAACAAACAAACACTGATATTCAGTGTTTGTTTGTTTGTCTGACATTTCTATTCATTCATTCATTCGTCTTTCTGATGAATGAATGGATGGAATTCCCATTCGCATGCCCAAGTATTTAACTGGGCATGCACGGGAATTTCACAGTGCCATCTAGTGTGGGCAGATGATGTGTCCCACAAGGGCTTCATCTACCCACACAAAGATGGCGGCGCCCAGAACATAGGTCTGGCACAAAAGAAAGATTTAAAAAATAGCCAATATGGGGGGCTTAGGGGCATTTGGGGGTGACTAGGGGGTCAGTTAAATGTAGTGGAGTCGGGAGGTGGGTTAAAAAAAAAAAAAAAAAAGGATTCGGCCATGACAGTACTGCTTTAAGATTTGGCTTTAAGGTGTGTGTATCTGTGTGCCAAATACATACACACAGATACACACACCGTGAAAATAGTTTTTTTTGGGGGGAGGGGCTCCACGATGTTGATACACTATGTCAAAGGGTTCCATTGGAAAATTAATTGTGGGAACTCCTGGTATACAGAAACATATAGACACACACAAATACACAGGCATAAACAGACACATATACAGATATACACAGGCGCACATATACAGACACATGAACACAGGTGGAGCACATAGATTGCATACACAGACACAGGATACACAGAAACAGGCATACTCATACAGTGACACTATCATGATGAAATGTTTGTTGTTTTAAGTTTCCCTACCTGTGCTCTATGCAGAGGGCAGGAAGTAAAGACAGGCAGCCACAAGCCTCTCCCTTTTTATATTACATACAGAGCAAAGGAGAGAAGGCAGCCAGCTCTGTATGCTATTGGTGCCATGCTCCTCTCTGTCCTGCTATGTAAACTGTGCTAGTGTGTTGCTTCACTCCAGGACTGCTAAGACTTGAAGAGACATGAAGAGCACCATAGGGATTAAAGGCTCCACATTGCTGCCCTTCTCCAGTGATGCACCTAATTGTTATTAGTGATGCCGCGAACGGTTCGCCGCGAACTCCGGTCAGCTGACACATCCCTGCCAATCTCCGGCAGACCCTCCCACCTCCTGGACAGCATCCATGTTGAAGCTTCAACATGGATGCTGTCCAGGAAGTAGGAGGGTCCGGGAGGGAGGGTCTGCCGGAGATTGGCAGGGATGTGTCAGCTGACCGGAGTTCGCGGCGAACCGTTCGCGGCATCACTAATAACAATTAGGTGCATCAATGGAGAAGGGCAGCAAAAATATATGTTTGTATCCCTAACACTATAGTATTCCTTTCATTCTCAACAATCCCCAGCTTAATGAATAACTGCAAAATGCCTCTTATAAACTCTATGTATTATTCCCAAATACAAGGGCATTTTTTTTAAATCTGTTTTTTAAATTAAAAAAAACAAACTAACATTTCTACTATATTTATTTATAATGTTCTAGTGTTGCGTTTAACCTTCACATATTTCGCCTTGGAAATATAAAAAAAAAATGGATTAAGCTCACCTTTTTATACAGCACTGTCCAATCTTGTATCAGCTTTGGGACCATCATAATGGACGATCTCTTGGCCAATCTAATACTTCTCATGCAGAACTACAGGGGGGCCAACATTAATGTTTACATTTGTCAGAGTGTAGGGACAGGGTCTTTGCACTAAAAGCACTAACTTAGAATGTAGAGGGGTTGTTACTTAAAGTGTCTCTTTAATTTATCCATGTATCCAAATGGGGCTTTATTGTTCATTTCAAACAATTGATTTGTGTTTTACTTTAGAACAACGCTGTTCCTATCATGTAATTAGTTCAAGAATGGAGTTTATTCACTTAACCTGGAAATGTGGGAATTTAAAAGGGAAATATTTTAGGCCTAAATAGCCAAATGTCTCAGTTTAATATATTTTGGTCTGCAATGTTGAATTCCTTGGCAATTCCCAACCGATTCCAGTTTATTGAATACACCTAGGATTGTGCTTGTTCCAGACACATATTTATACAGCTGGAAGTAATGTCCATGCTAAGGTCTATTTGCAAGACCGGAGTCCTTTCTGATCTTCAAGTTTACTTTCAATCTACCTATCATTACTGTGCTAGCC